TCCACCCGATAATAATTTATTTGAAGAATTTTTAAAAATGGACTGGTTCTAAAGTTTTTTTTTTTTTCTTTGAAATCACTTTTTTTTTAGTTAGAAAATTGCGCTGATTTTTTCTTACAGTACCTAAATAAATTCGAAATTTCTGTTAAGTTTTATGTATTTTATGACACTTTTGGACATTTTCAACAGTTTATCCCGTTCACAAATTTCGGTTTTTTCTTTCTAAAATAAATTTTTTTTTTAAATACTGACTATAAGAAGAATAAAAAACCTAATAGAAACTTTCTTGTATCATTTTGGCATAAAAGTTTTTGATTTTAAAAATGTATACTTCCTATGTTGTATTAGTTTTTGTCTTTAGAAGATATTATGTATTGATAAAAACAATCGTATTGATGAAATAAAAACAATAGAATATTGTATTAATAAAAATGATAGGTATTGACATAGATGATATTAAATGAATTATTAATAATACAATTCTCCAGAGTTTATACTTTATACTTCTGCAAGTAGCGCTTAAAATTCCGGTTATCTCAGCATCGTGCCATCGCGTGCCGTTCATTTCCGATAATACGGAGAATAAAAACGTGACTCAGAAATGTTATGGCTAATGAGAAGTTTTCAAATGTATCATTAATTTACATAGAAAGAGACATATCGAACAATATAAATCCTGCTGATATTGAATATTTTTTCCAAAAAAAAGTCTGCAGTTAAACTTGATTTTATAATTTATTTCTAACTATTAGTTCTTACTGTCTTAGTTTTGGTAGCGTTAAAAAACATTTTTGTACTTAAAAAATATAATATAATTTTATCCTCCTGTAAAATAATTGCATAGATTTTAAATACATTTTTGATCAATAGATATAATGAATATATACCTATATTTCTACTTTTGTTATTAATAGGTCGTGTAATTATAGTTATCACTTATAGATATCGCGTTCCCTCAGTGTTTCTCTTTTATTTGTTTTTTTTTTTTTTATAGTAACAGACGGCGAAAATTAAGTCGAAGTTAACAAAAACAAATTTTATACGCCGGGCACGCACGCGTCCAAACAAATACACCGGCACATTTATTCAGTAACATTCAAACATAAATAACTAAATGTTGCATGAAAAACAAAAGAAAAATAATAATAAAATCAAGTTACCTCAAGAATACACTATATACCTATATGCATATAGCCATAGCAATGCGTATAACTCGAAACTTTAAAACTACAATACCCATTGTTTAAATAAGCACTTTAGGTACGCTCTGCACGGCTATTATGTATGAAGTAATACACAGTTATTTATTTTTCACTAAAATTGTTCTTAAAAGACCGCCACACTGGCATTTGCCGTCTCTGCACTTTTCTAACGAGCTAAACATAGCAAAACATATGTTCAGCGTAAAACCGACTTATTAGGCACACAATTTATTTACATGACAATATTTGAAGATGAGCACGTCCGGGTTTTTTTGAAATATTCATGATTAAAAAATTTATAGTCATTTAAACAGAAATGTAAAATACCATTTTGTATGTACCTTCGACGGTGAGTCAAATATTTAGTGAATTTTAAAACACCACCGAGCGCTAATATTTTTTCTCTATTCTGTCAAAACTAAAATATTTATAAGTGCGATTTAAAATATGTATCAAACGTTTTTGTATAAAATGTAAAGGTTTTAAATTGTACGCGACTACACAATAACTGTTACAACCCTCGACTGGGCAGTTTCACGATTGGAGTTTTTTTCGGTACTTATCATAAATCATATGCGCATAAAAAATAATAAATACAAAACAAAATATTCTTATAAAGAAACCTTTTGTGTGATGTGTATTGATAAAAAAAAAAAGAATAATAATAATAAATAAAAAAAAGGCTAAATGTGAAATTGTTTTTTTATGGATTTTTATTCAAAACTCAAAGAAAACAATTTACACAACAGTAAGTTGTTGTGATAATATTATTGTGAAAAATACAAAGTCTTCGAGAATCTGACAAATTATTTTATCTGAAAATTGCACACCCAGTCGGCGGCACGGCGGTATATACGCATCCTTAATCCTAGGGATATATTTTTGTTACCGTGCGCACGTTCTTCCCTAAAACAACCTCTGAAACAAAAAAAACTGAACGGAAAAAAACCCATTGAATTTTATAAAGCGACCGCGTGCCCAGCTATTGCTGCTGCCGGATACTATTATTATATTGTCGTAAAATGCCAACGAGGAAGGATTTAAGTGGCTTTTAGAAAAAAAAAAAACGACGACCGTATCTGATTTATAGCGCAATAGTTGTCCAAAAGGCGATGCGAAACGAATGTTGGGCGAGGGGGGGTATTAAAGGGTGATGGACGAGTGGGAGAAAGCGAGGGGGAACAAAACGAAAATCTCCGCTCGTCTATACTTTGGACCGATATCAAAATTTGTTATGTGTTTGGATACGGTCCAAGATCCCCGAGACACAAACAAAATACATATACGCAGCCACAGCCGCCGTACATCAGTATTGTATCGGTATTGTATATGCGACATGCGTGTACCGAAGATAATATTTTCCGGATGAATCGGCCGGTTTAGCGATTGTATTTATATATATATATAGAAAACGTAGACGAAATGCGCGTTATGGAATATAACACACATACCTATATACCTACGTATAATAGTATGATGGAACCCATAATTTTAGGGGTTATGTCCTAAACAAAAACCTCTGCAATGCGCAAGGCCGAAAAATAATAATCACCCGATAAACGTGTAACGAACTATATATATGTTTATATAATATACTGACGTCAAAAACCTACTGTGCACTAGAACCGAGAAAGATTGAGTATTTTAAATGAAAGAGATACTCGTTGTTTTTGGTGACTTATTTCGAATTTTTTCCGAAAATATAGACTATATTACACGCCGTGGTTAAAGTGGGAGATCGGAATCCCCCTTATTTAAGGTAAAATTATTCCTTTCGCTTTAGTTTTAGTTTTCGAAGTTCAGGGGAACGCTTTAGTTTTATTGTCACTGAGATATTTTTAATTAAAAACTAAAAACTAGTATTAGTTTACTATGCAGCATTTGTGAGATAATTATGTTTATGGTTATGTTGTTTATTAAATGCCAACTGGCAATATTATAAATACTGGCATGGTATTAAGTGAATGCGGTAAGTAAGAAAACAAAAGACCAGTATATGTAAATACTTGTTCGAACATAATAAAGTAAAGTGCAAAATATACACATAAAATGTTAAAGTATACATAGGGCTGAAAAGAAATATATAGATAATAATATAATAGTAGTTGAGTGGCTCAAGGATTAAATACTAACATTATTTGCGGCCTTAAGCTAATTGTTTATTTTTTGTTTATTCGTGTTAATATGGATGAAAATTTGGTTTTCATAGACAATAAAAATATTATTGTTATTATCATTACTAATATGTAAACTATTATCAAGCAATAGCAAAGCATGTACACGGTTTATTCTCATTTTCTCTGAGTTGAAAAAGAAACTTTCAAACAATATGCCTAAAAAAAAACTATCGTCAACTATCGTGACTATCTAAACATAGTTCCCAAGCGAGATTAGCAAAAGTACGTTAAATTGGAGAATCTTCTTTTGAAAATTCAGATCGTCTCGCAAGTCAAAGAGAGTACGCGTCGCAATCGCGGATCACAGAATCTAGCGCCGAACGTTCGCAGTGCTTTGCTGTAAATTGAGACAGAAACTCACGAGCACCGGTATGTCTGGGGTCGGAGTCCTCAACTAGATTCTGTGCGAATTAACGAAGTGTCTATAGTGTTGTTACTCAATTTCCGGTAGTGCAACAGATATTTTAGCGATAAGTTATTATAAACACTGCAGTAATATAGTAAACTTTCTAACATGGAAAAGTTCTCATCTGGTTTTCATTAATTTCCCACACTCACCACTTATATTATATAGAAGCACACGTAAAAGTTTATGAGATACTCTCGATAACTCTGAAAATATACTTCAAAGAAAACCACTAATTATTTTTTAAATCACTTATCTGTACTCAAAGGAGATTCTTCTATAGAAAATTTATCAAAATGTTCTAACATACTATGTATGGTTTCGAAAATCAAAAGCAGACCTTTGACATTTACAAACGAACAGCAATCCGAGTTTGAGGGAGGAATAGCACTCAAAGTTCTAAACCACTATTTATGTCTGTAGCTTTGCAATTTTATTGAAGTAAATAGTATAATTTTTATAATTAAATTAACTTTTGTGACACAAGGAAGAACTAACTGATAGCTCGAGATGTGGTCACAAAAGCTCCGGGTAAGTTATATAGGTAGATAAGTAATTAAAAGCGTAAGTTCTGCCCAGCAAAATTCTAACTCCTAGTATGATTATTGATAATGTCAAAAAAATTACTCTTTTTTCTGCCATAACAACTTACAGAACTTAGAAAATATTAAATTATTATATTTAAATGTATCCATTAGATAGCCAATATATTATTTATATAATTAATAAAGCGTAAAAAGTATAAAAGGTTCATGCAAAGTATAAGTTAACGATGACGACGCGGATAACCTTTATACGTTACAAAAATTATAAGTAGGTAAATGGGCTAGACATTTTTAGGAGAAATAACGACATTTTCTACATTATTAGTATCTTACACAGTGTTACTGAAAATTTAATTTTACATTACTCATTAGTTTTCGTTTGATCCTCTTGTGAGTTGTGTTTTAGGTTATCCCAAGACGTGGGTTATTTAGAAATGGACACGGGTATATAATTTGTTAAATTCAATTTCCCGACTTAAATGACCGCCAAAACGTTATAATATATCCGTACGGTCACAGTGTATAAGTTACGTTATTCTTACTTATATATGACGTTTTAGCATGTATATTATAATAATGTATACTTACATAATATATTATAGTACAGCAAGAAAAATATAGTGTCAGATTATTTAGAAGATCGGAGGTTGTGGAACAATATGGACGATACATGGATATCGAATACCAAAAAGGAAATGTAGGTGACCCTCTGAATAAAAAATGGGAGAACATAAAATCAGCTATCAAAAAGGCAGCGAAAAAAGAAAAGAAAGAACCTAGAAAAGCATGGATTGACAAGGAAATAGTAAAACTTATAGATAAAAGACGAAAATATAAAACAATAATACAAGAGAAGGACAACAAAAGTATCGTCAACTAAGGAATCAGGTTAACCGAAAAGCAAGAAAAGCCAAAGAAGAATGGTTAGAGCAGCAGTGCAGCGAAATTGACGAACTATTCAAAGTTAACAAAATAGATTATGCGTATCAAAAGATTCAACAATTTGTGGGAAAAAGAAAACGAAATTGCACTAATATCAGAGATAAAAATGGTAAATTATTAGTTGATGACGAGAATATAATAAAACGATGGAAAGAGTATATTGAAGAGCTTTATGAGGGAGAAAAACTGGAGGAAATTACAACAGATGAGGAAGAAACGAAATTACCCATTTTAAAATCAGAATTTGAGTTACCACTCCATGACTTGAAACAAAATAAAACTCCTGGGATTGATAACATAACAGCAGAATTATTGCAATGTGCAAGTACGAAGATAAAGTACGTTTTATATAAACTAACTCAGGATATATATGAGAAAGGAGATGTGCCAGATGATAACCGCAAAAGCATAATTGTAACTATACCAAAGAAAAGTGGAACAAATTTCTGTGAACAGTTTAGAACACTGAGCTTACTGACACACGTCTCAAAAATCCTAACAAAAGTAATGAATCGAAGAATAGAAGGAAAAGTGGAGCCTTTTAAGTGAATCCTAATTCTGGTGGTTACCACCAGAATTAGAAGGATTCTGCTTCAGATAGTCTCCAAAAATTACTTGGTGAAATTATAAAAGAATTGCTCATTCTTTGTAAATAGGATCTGCAGTTTAGATCAAGAATGGAGTTTACATTTAGCTCTTAATTCGAAAAATAATAGTTGCTTGGACTACTTAAATACTGTATGTCCCCGTTTTTTTAAAAATGAAGTTATTAAGATCATTGGTAGCTCAGCATAGGGATTTAGGTTCAACAAATATCTTGAGTGACACAAATTTATGGATAGCATTAAACAAAGCATCATTAAAAACTGCAGTGGCATCCTCATCATACTGAGAAATTATAAACTTCCTGATGTATGCAAATCATACAGTATTGATAGCTGGCAGCTTCAGGCATTTGAGAAGAAAATATTAAAATGTGTCCACATAAATTAATAAGGATAAGGATATTGAAACAGTAAAAATCATAAAAAAATACAAAAACTTCAATACTTCTGACATAGGTTGCTGCATAACACCCAGAAAAATCTGTCTAATATAAATAATCTACTATAATTAATAATCCAGAGGAAAATAATTGGAAAAAGAAGCTGTGGATTACCTCAAATGTCCTAGATGGTCAGTCTGGGAAGGAGTTCCCTTCAGAATAACTATTGATAAAGTTCAAATTGCTAACAATACCATACAAAATTAATTATTTAATTGAAATTAAAATGTAAAAACTAACTATTTAGGGAATTATTAAGTGTAATTTATGTTAATATTTAATACTATTAATACCTTCATCTGAATAAATAAGATCTTCAATAATAGGCTCCAAAAATGGATCACAAGTTCTTGTATCATGTAAATGATGGAGTAAAATAGTTTGATTAACTTGTATTGCTGCTTGACGTAAATTTTTTCCTAAAACTTCTCTAACTGCAGTATATTTTTTTTGAATATCCAATTCACTAAACCTAAATAAGAAATTATATACATACATAAAAGGTGTGATCAAAACTAAAACTGTTTGAATTGCATATTAAAGAGCAGTAGGATTAATATTAGCTTCTGTGACTTCTGAGCATATCTATTTTTGTAAATTCTATGTAACCTTATAGTTTTAATGTATAGTTGTGATATAGTCTTAGTTGACAAAGAAATGCAAGATTTCACATACATTTTTAATATTTATTAGAATAATCATAACCTGTATCATTATGTAATCATCAAAAGAAAAAAAATCTTTTCCAACCTCCACGAAAATGTTTATTAAGTTACTCTTTTTTTGGTGGATTCAGTACAAAATCACCAAGCATAGAAAACATATTTTACAAAAATATTCATTACATCAAAACTAAAAAGGTTGCAATTCAAACAGTATTGGTATTTTTTTTTATTTTACCTCATATACAGAGTGTAGTAGAGCTTATAATATTAAATATTTAACAATTCAGATTCTGAGGTGATTTTTAATTTATTAAATTTATCTGTACTGTGTATACAAATTTCTACCAGAAATGTTGCTCCAACATATTAATCAAATTTTCTGAAAGGTACTTTAAGGAGATAATTTTTATTTTACAAACAGTTGTTTTCTTATGTTTTCTACCAGAAATACTGCTCAATAAAAATAAGATAAGATAACTTTTTTTTTTGTATTTTGGACCTAATTGGTGACTACCAGTCATTTTCTTAAAGGTTTTTATAATATTTTGAAAAACTCAACACACACCTAGACAAACTTACAGCATTAACATTGTCTTTATTTTACTATAATATTTATATATATATATATTATTGAAAATACTATTAACCTAGCACTACTCATAAACCATTGTGTAGAAATACAAATTGCCATTTTTAAAAGATATTGTTCCAAAAACTAGAATATATCATATATTCATATGATTTTAGATTAATTGTTTTTAAGCAACAACTATTTAATTTTTAACAATTCAATTATTTTATGTTATTACTAACATAAAAATACATTAAAAAATACATTCAAATATTTAGAATAGTACATATTACAAAATGGTTATTTTGAAAATTGTGTTAAGTAAATGAATTAGTTACTTTTTTAAAAATTAAAGGATAAATACACAAATTTAATTTTTCTTTCAATAAATGTTCCTCTCAAAGAAAAGCAAATTGAAAAAAAAAATGAATATTAACAGCTCTAAAAAAATCTGTTGAACACCACCCACTTTGTTCAACAGGCTATCTTAACACCCTGTATAGAGCATTGATAAAATATTTAAAACTGATTTAAAAATTTATTTACCTGCAGTGGAAATATACATTTACTATTATCTTATTGATTGAATTGTTATTATCAGTATTCTTTTCTCTTTGTTCTTCTAGGACTTTTAATATTACCCAAAAATTTGGCAATACAGGTTTATAACACTCTGAATAAGTCAATGAAACATCAGGGTCAAAATTAATTTCAGTATCTTCATAATTTATAATTTCTGAAGCTGTACTATCAGGGCTAAATTGTAAATCTTTTTTCACAACATAAAATGTATTTTCTGTAGACTTTTCAATAGCGTAAAATCTATCATCATAATCATGATCTAATATTATTTCCAATTGGTCAAGTTTCTAAAACACATACAAATTAAACATAAGTACTTAAGCATATTATAAATATATTTATATTATATTTATTAATATAATATTAATATTATGAAAAAAAAAAATGTTTAATCTATAAGCACATAATAAGATAACATTTATGAAATGTATTTACAATATAATATGACATGTTATTAAATAATAATAATAGAAGCACCACATATGTTTAAAACTAATTTAATCAAAGTGATATCTACCTTGATTAAATTTATTGTGTAAACATCATAGTAAAAGATAGATAATAATTTTTTCATAAACTGTATAAATTATGCATTTTTTCGGTTTTTAATTTAATTCTCTACGTTATCAATAATTATGCATTTTATGTATGGATTTTACAAATTTTATTTTAAATGTTGTAGGAATGAAATGCAACTTTGAAACAAGAAAAATATAATGTGTAATAATAATAATATAAAAAATGTTTACCTGTAGAAATTGTGAAAGACTATCATATTTATTAGAGCCAGTTTGTAGTAGAGGTGTAGGTAAAACAAAATTCACAGGAATTTGCCTGTGTTCATTTGATGAAGAATTCGGTGAACTTGAAATGTGCTCTATGAGTTTTTCTAAAGTGTGAGGTGTCACAATTGGATCTTTTAATAGACCAGCAGCCATTTCATCACGCATACACCATTCAACCTAAAAATATAAAATTAAGTAACAACAGAAAAATGATTTAAATAATAATAGATTTAAATTTTACCTCAGCTATAAACTCGGCTAAACCTTGGGCATATCGAGATGGTATAGAGTAACACAAATAAATAAATGGGTTTTGTTTTGTTTGTTTTCTATAAAACAAAATTATAATTAAAGAAAAAAAAAAAATCATAAAACAAATTATTGTGTTTTTTTACTAACAATGAATTGTTAATAATTGGGAAATGTAATTTGTCTGAATAACTTCGTTGATAATATCTATCATCATCATTATCTTCTTCATCATCACAGTCATAATCATAATCATTATTTGGTAACATTAAACAGTATACATCTAATGATACTTTAACATTACTTAAATTTAAGCTTCTAATAGATTCACTCTCAACATCTTGATTCAATAGTTCAACTAAATATAAATATGTATAAAATAAAACAAATAAGAACTTATGGAATTGGAAAAGTAACAATACATAGTAGAGATATTGGATTTGAACAGTAATAATTTAAACAATTTATTTATTTTTCTTAAAAAAAAATTGTTTTACATTGCTTGATGTTTAGCTTTGTATGTGCCATTTTATGTGCTAAAAAAATTATTTGAATAACCAAAATAAAATTACTAGCTAAAATTCAAGAAATTTAATAAAAAATTAAATGTTTGCAATAAAATTATTAAAATGTGATTTATTATAAATTCCGAATCAAATTGAGGAATATATTGATTTTATAATGATGTTTATTTTATTTTTTTTTTTATTTGTGAACAACTTTTCTACCAGAAACCTTGTTAAGTATAACACTTTTTTTGAAAGGAAATTTACCTTGGGTGATACTTAAGGAAGATAGTTTTTTTGATTTTCAAACTATTTTCATAATAAATGTGTTTGGGGGGAAATGTGGGCAAAACTGGTAAAAACTTAGAAAAACCAAGAAAATTCACAAAATGTATTGTTTTTAATTTTAAAGTGTAATAAGAATTTTAATATCAAATTTTGACAAAATTTGTAAATATTATGGCCTTTTTATACATGTATAACTGAACTTCACACGGAATTATTTAAATTTCCCTCTATATCCTACCTTCCTAACTTTTCACCTACAATAATAGCCAAGTATGTTCGCCTTTTTTATTCTTAAAATTTGATTAACACTAGCAATATATAAAATATAAGGTAGTGATACGTACTTAATCATAATCATCTAATAAATAAATATCTTGTGTCATAGTGTTTGTAGCCTATTTTAATTTTAATAAAAAATTTTTTGTATATTAGGTAGGTTTGAGAATAAGTTTTAAAGTATTTTTCACTCTCTCACCCCCCTCTACCATTTTTAATCGCGATTTTAGTATTTGTGTATGAATTGTATAATGAGATGGTGGGTTGTACCACAACCAAAAAATAAATTTTATTAAAATCCATCCAGCCATTTTGGAGTAGTATGACCACAAACACCTTGACAAGAGATATTTATACATTAGAAGATAAACTGCCAGTATAATATGGTACTCAATGTCAAACTTCCCCACTTACTGATAGGTTACCTTAGACTTCCCTTTTTTGAAATCCACCCCTCCCCTCCGAAAAAAATAATAGGCGTTTAGATATTTTTGATGTAAAAATCATGAAAAAATTTCACAATAGAACACTACCTACTTTCTACCTATTTGTTTTCATTCAATTCTGACACATTCAAAACCAAATTGAATATGGGTAAAACAAATAATAAAAATTGGGGCGGAAAAAAATACTGCTTCATTAAATTTAGGTAGGTACCTACAATATACTATTTCTTTATCATTATTACAATGCATAAGAATCAGAACCATAGCAAAACGTGGCCAAGGCAGCTAGTAATCTATAATATTTACAATTTTTAATAGGTATATATTTTACTAAATTCATTAAATTTCTATATTATATAAAAATATTTGTTTTGATATTTATATCTTCCAAATATTATATTTTATTATATGAGTTATGTGAGTTAGCCCCCTATAATATATTAATATATATAGGTATATAAAAATAAATAAATATAAACCTTATACTATTTAGCTAAACATCTGTTTCCAGGATTCCAATATCTCTCAAAATAAAATTTATATTTCAAATACTTACAAATACAAGTAGGTAATGAACGTACAGATTGACTTTTAGTTAATTTATTTGTTTTGACAGTACACACTAAATGTACAAATAGAGGAAATAGATCTTGTTCATCCACTTCTTGTTTATGTGAAGTATCATGTTCTGACATTCTATAATTAACACAGTAACCATCTTCATCTTCATCCTAAAAAACAATGTATGTACAATTATTAGTTAATTATTAAAAATAAAATAGTAAACATGTACAAACAAATTTATAATCATAAAATAATTTCAAAATGAAACATACTAATTTCTCAATATAATCGTAGAAATAATAATCAGGGTGACTTAATACAGGCTTCAACATATAGCGATCTAATGTAGATGAAAATGTTGAGTGTATTTCATCATGATGAGATTTTAAAACATGGTTTTCCGCAGAGCAAACAGCACAGCTATTAGAATTTGTTTTGAAATGATTACATACAACCTACACATATAATATTAATTAAGAATATTTTGCTTACATTTTAGTCAAATATATTAATTAATCTTTGCATCACTGTTAACTTTGTAAATAAATACAAATATTAACAAAATAAGATACTATAGGTAGTAATTATCAACAAAAATATATTAGATATTAATAGAATTAAAAAAAAATACATGTTAACTAATTAATTAATACATTATTCATTATACCTTAAGGTAATCAGTAATTTCAAATGAAACTAAGCGATGCTGGCACCGATCAACAGCTCGTTGAATGTCCATGTATGGGACATTAAATCCTAGGTGTAAAGCATGAAACACAGTGGTTACATAACTGTGATTGTAAACTAACTTAACTTTATGTAAATATTTGTCCATCAACATTGGATCTACAGCTAAAAAAACACGTATACATATATATATGGTATATATTTGAATTAATTACTAGGTATAAAATGTAAAATATGTTTGTGTAAGTACCTGGTTGATTATAATAAAATTGTTCTTTGATTGTTATATTTTCTTCTTCCTTTTCTTCTTCATCTTCATCACTACTTGATAAAGAACTACAAGTACTATACTCATTTGTATAATTATCAATTATTGTATGGTCATACGAATCACTGTCCGATGTTAAAACATTTTCTATGTCCTGTTGCCGGCAGTCATAAACTTCAATATTCATAATGGTAGGAACATTTTGTAAATCTCTATCAAGACCACTAGAGGAACAATTTTTGGTGTCTTTATTATCGAAATTACATAAATTACGGTCAAGCCTAAGTTGAGCCCAAGTCAGATTGTTACTATCACTATAATAGGGTGTGGATCCCACAGACATTGTTCTATAGTAATTCATGGAGTTTTCTTGTTGATGCATATTTAATGATGCAATTGACTGACCACCAATGTTTCTTTTAGTATAATGCCACGTATAAGCTCTTGAACGATTAACAAATGGTTCGAGGTCGAAATCACAATCTTCGAAAAAGTTGTCTTCAATAGTGGAATTTTCTTCAGCATATGAAGGAGTAATAGTTAAAATCAAACGAGTGTCATCAACACGTTTCATGAAACACTGGCCAATTTCTTGTTCATTCATTTTCACTGTAGGCCGATTCATATTATATACTGAATCATCAGAGTATTCAGAGTCATTGACATCAAATGCTCGATCATTAATTGTTTGCAAACGTGAGTAAAATGACCGTTCCAACATGCTGTTCATTTTTTTATGATCTTTTACACTTACTGCTAAATCTGTAAACCAAATATATAAATATATATATATATATATATATATATAATTAGACATCATGAATATATTTAATAGGACCATAATTTGTGTAAAAATAATATATTCATACCAGTCCCTTCCTCTTCACACTTAGTAAAAAGACTAAATGTCATCGAAGAATGGTGTCTGCATTTAGGCAGTACTTTGACTAAACTAAATGTAAAAGGCAATTTATGAATTCGGCCAGCATCCACAATAACACTTTTGTCCAAATCAACATCTAGATCTGAGACTGACATATTTGGGTCCTTGCACATATGCTGCATATGTTGAAATGTAAACAGCGAGCCAATACAATCAGAATCCACTCGCCACAACTAATAATTAAAATACATCATATTAATAGATTTTAATATAGTCTAAATAAAACCTGATATTAGGTGCATTAAAATACAATAAAAGTAAATATTATCTATTTATTTAAGACAATTCAGAAAAAATAAAAATTATTCATTCTTTGTGTATAGACTGTCTATTGACTGTTTGTTATAGACCAGAAATTCTTAAACAGACTTAAAACAGGCCTAGTGCTTAACATGAAGAAGCAAACCAGAAAATCATTGATTGCTCATCACTGGACAGAATCTATATAATACACAAACATTAACAACCAAACCATGGAATCCATCTCATAACCTTTTTGTTTTACTATCTTGCATTATAATGAAATATATTATGTTCATAGATGCAGTAGCAATAACTCTAATTAATTCAATGGGCTCAAAGAATTCAATGATTTTTTGTTCCCTTGGGACTACAGACACACCCGCATGTGCTAACAAGAAAATGTATTTACACCAAAAAAAAGCATTAAAATTGGTTATATTGTTTTTTCTGGTGATTTAGAAGTAGGATGTATTGAAAAAAATCATTCAGTTTGAAAAATATGTATCTAACCTTTCAAAAGATATATTAAAAATACACAAGGAATGTTAATATACCAATTTGAATATGTCATCATTAAACACTACTTTCCCTAATATTGAAGTTGCCTTTAAATATTTATTTGTATGTCATGCTTCGATGCAAGAGGAAAAAGGTCGTTTTCTGTTTTGAAGAGAGTCAAAAATTATTTATTGTCATCATTAGTAAAACATTTTCAGTTTTATCAATATTATTTATTGAAGATGAGGTATAAGTTAAGATTTAAATTCTATTCTAAATAGAACATGAAGTTGACCAGATGAAAAATATACAATAATTTTCAATAATTTTCTTAGTCTGTTCGTATTAGTAACGTTAAAATTCTGTGTCCTGTGTATATATATTAACATTCATAAAGAATGATGTACTTTTGTACAACCATGTTCAGGTTGTATATAATTTGAGCTTTGTGGTTTTTTTCATTTCTTATGTATTCGGTACAATATCAAACCAGACTTCGTCCAAAATAAAGCCCAGAAAGCTCTTTATATTACATATTACAATCTATTTAATTTCCAAATTCTGCACTATGTACGTTATTTGGGTCATGAAAAAAAACGTTATATTGTTATACAAAACTCGTAGTTCATTGAAGCACAATTATGTTTTCCACAATAAATATTGTTCCAATTAAAAAATATCAAGGTATCTTTTTTGTTGAATTTTTAATCTAGTTAGTGAAAAAGGAGATTTTTTTTTTTTGATAACTGATCAAAACCGAAAAAAAATGCAGAAAGTATCAGAAATATACAAAAAATAATTCGTTTATTTTTTTTCAATTTTGTTTTTTTAACGTAATTTAATTTAATATATTTATAAACTTGAAATTTTAAAAGAAAACATATATTTTCTTTTTAAAGACGTAGTCAAATTCTCAAGCTATTTGATCTATATTTGAGCTAGTTGTAAACATTTTCATTTTACGAGTTTTGTACGTAATTTTTATTTGGTAGGTACTCTGTGGAAAAAATTGTTAGACTAAATAGAAATGATTGAACATTTGATAGGAGGTTCATTATAAGTCGTACTTGTTAGACAAAAAAAAATTTGAATTTTAAGTAGTATTTTTTTTTTTATAGATAAATTCTAATATCAAATTTTGACGAAAGTCGTAAATATTATGGCCTTTCAAAACATATTTAACTAAATCGTTTTTCGTTATCTTTGGTGTATAGTTGGTTACAGGTATAAATTAAATAACTATGTATCCTACCTTCCCCACTACCCACTTACAAAAGTGGCCGCACCAGTCCCGGTATTTTTTTTTCTGTTTGTGATCAACTTTTCTACAGAAAACTTTCTCCGAAGTATGAATTGTATTAGCTTTTCTGAAAGGTAATTTTCTCTCATTGGTGCATTAAGTAGGTTACTTTTTTGATTTTCTTAGTGGTTTTTAATAATAATTGAGAAAAACCGAAAGAAAATTTTAGGTAAAACAACAAATATTTACCTCGCGTCGAAGGGTAACCGTAAATATTACTTCAATAAATAAAAGATAAAAAACCTTTTAGATTCTGAGTGGAGCGAAGAAGCTTATGGTTTTACTAAGATATTTATTTTTTATTTTAATTTGTTTTACCTGTGCGCAACTTTTCTACCAGAAATTTTGCTCTGATATTTAAGTGCAACACCTTTTCTGAAAAAAAATCAGTGTGGGGTGGTACTTTATGAAGGTCATTATTCCATTTTCTCATCAAATGTGAAAAACCGAAAAAATGGGAGGAAAAACCGGAAAATGTATGAAATATATTACTAAAATATTACGATTTTTTTTTTGTGCACAACTTTTTTATCAACAATTTTGTTCTAATTTATAATGATAGCACTTTTTTATCTTTTATATTTTATCTTTTTTATCAGCTAGATCAAGAATAAAAAAAAAGTTTTGTCATTTTTTTATTGGAGCAATATTTCTAGTAGAAAAGTTGTTTACACACACATGAAAAACTAATAATACAAGTCCACATCATAATAAAGCCAAAATCTACAGGAACAATGGTTGTTGCGTAAATATTTATGTTTTCTTTCGTTTTTTTCTAGTTTACCCTCGTCAATTTAAAAAGTACCAAGAAAAATCAAAAATCATATAGTACGTGAGCGTAAAATTTATAATTATAATACATTAATAATAATATGACAAAAGTATGAGAATAATATTATAATGTACTGGTTTGTCATGACACATCGGTACTATAAAATAGTAGGTACCTACCTAGTACCTACAATCATTTTACATTTCTAATATTTTTATTTGGGGGGATTGAAAAATTTAAAACATAAAATGTACCATTTCATATTATACATAGTGCTATTAATTATAATTATAAATAGTAAATAGTAAAGGATATGAATATGAACGACTGAAGTACCTATAAAGCTAGCAAATAACATGAAAATAATAACTATCTAATCGATAATATTTTTTTTTTATATTCAGCATTTTATATTTGGCATAATTTTAAAAGTATAAATGAATAATCACGCGGAAATGTATACACTGCCACTGTGTTGTAGTGAAGAGAGGCGCCACTGATTACGACAACGTTGGAATTCACGGTGCTGCTTGGAGCAGCACGTGCCGGAACAAAATTAATATTTTACGACGTTAAAAATGTTTACACAAAACAAATGAATCGGCATTTAAAAAAGTGATTTTAGAGTAAAAATACCTATTATGAGATTTTTAGAGAAGAATATTTCAGAGGAAACCTTATATGGGTTTTGTAATATTTTAAATATACAGCTCGATATAAAAGGTTCAAAAGCTGCTTTTACATTTTTTATGTAACTGTAACTTTTTTAATATTAAATATTTCAAAAACGCATATGAGATTCCCTTCGAAATATTGTTATCTATAAATTTCATAATAGGTATTTTTACTCTATACCACTTTTTAATGCCGTTCGCTTCGTATGTTTTGCGTAGACGTGTTTTTAATACTGAAAATGACCGTGGCGTTCTCTTAAGATTAAATACTAATCTGTCCGAGTTTTTACGTTTCAGATTATTGCGGTCTAGAAAATTACTTTCCGGAATATTACGTTGAGGCTTTTTTATATTCCAGATTTTTAAGTTCCGTGAATTTACATTCCGGATTATTGGGTTCTAGATTTTTGAATTTCGGGTTTTTATTAATTCGGATAGTTACATTCCGAAAATTTTTGTCTCCCATTTTGACAGATTATAAGTAGATACAGGATAAAATAGGTAATCCAAATTTGTGTGTGTGTGTATATATATAGTATAATTATTTAGTGACACTTCTTAAATTTAAAACTACGAGTATAACATATTTCTTTAATACTAATGTTCTGAGGTTATTATATATAGTGATATTATTTTATATTAATTTTATTTAAATTTTTTAACAATGATCTAATATTATCATAGTTGTACATGAATATGAATAAGTATATTATGTAATAAAATAATAAAGTAAATATATATGGTAAATAAATACATAAATAAAAAATATATACATAAAAATAAAATTAATTAATTAATTATATGTCACGTAGAATATTATGATAAGTATATTATTGAATTAAAAATTCATCATCAGGTATATTATTAATCAAAATGTAAAACGCATTTATTACAAAATACATTTAATTACTTTATTTTTTTGTATATTATGTATATGAATATTAGATACAACATATTATATCCTAATATAATTGTTTACCCAATGATTTTTTTTTTTTAATTGTATGATTAAATATTTCTGTTTGGTATTAATGCGTATGCAATTATAATGTTAAATTAAATTTATTTTTCCCAGATTAACAACATTTCCAATATTGTGCTTACTTTTAAACTGAATATATTAATTTCAACTATTGATGTAATTTATTATTTATTGATGTAATGTTATTTCATTTTAATATGTTTCATACTGAATAAATTTTAAAATCTTAGAATTATCAAAATAAAACTATTAATAAATTATCTATCCAGTCAAAAGTGTTATTTTTTGAACAACTTTAGTATTTGATTCACTTAAATGTAATACAATTGATAGTAATAGTTCATTATCTGACCATATTGTACTATTAATTAAATCTATTACTATAACTTATGTGAAGCAACCAAAAACAAGGACTAAAATTTCGTAAACCTCCCCGGAGACTTGCTCAATACCCAAATGCCAAATGGATTAAGGAATGGAACGACGAGAACCCAGATATATTGAACATTCATCGAAAATTCAACGATCAGACAACCAGGGTTCCACTTGCAGCTCAATGGCTGGGTTACATTTAAAAAAATTAGAACAAGGCATGGTAAAACTAAACAAATGCTATATAAATGGGGCTTCAGACTTACACCAAAATGTGACAGCAGAAGTATGATACAAACAACTGAACACATTGTTGAAGAATGCCCAAGGAGATCATTCAATGAAAGCATTAACAACCTTCTCATGGCCACATCAGAAGCAATCCAGTGGATCTCAAACTTGGACATCCAAATCTAAAATTATAACCTCTCTATCTGAATCAAATTTGTATAAATACTTATTATTATTATCCTTATTATTGTAATTTCACTATTTTAAATTTACACCTTTGACCTCTTTGTGTATATTAGAATTTTGTGTTTATTATATATTTATTAGTTGTTAATTTTGAAATGTTTCTCAGTATGATAAATAAATAAATACTTGAATCTCAAAGTTAAATTAAGTTTAAAAAGTCATAATGAAACAATATTTGTTTGAATGGGTATAATAAATTGATTTATTTATTTACATTACACATACATTTTAAGTTATACATTTAAGTTTTAGTTATTTATTATCTAAAAATTATATTAATATTTAATTAACTATTAATTTGTAACATTTTCAATTATATTTTTCAGAAATTAAAAACAACACAATAAATAATGTCATTATTTGATTCATTCAGAATTTAAAAAAGCTCAGATTAAATTATTAAAAAAATACAATAAAATAGAAGAGAAGTCAAAAGAATGTTTGTCATTTAATAATCAAAATAATAATAATTTTTTCTTATGGACAGAGCTTAAATAAACAAATAAAACAAAATTTAATGTAAAAAAGGAACTCAAAACTACAAATAACATAAATAAGTATAACATTATTTTATTTTATTTTAGAATATAAACAACAACAATATACTTAGTCAATAATTTTGTATAATTATTTAATTATGTATATTATATAATTATGTGTTTTTAAATGTTTCTGACTACGCTCTGAATCTAAAAAAATATTGAGAATTTCTGAAACAATTGGAAACAGCTAATTTGCTATTCGCAAATCTTTTATTTTTTTCATCCTGTCAATAAGGCTGTAATAATTTATTTATAAATCACTAAGAATAAGTAATTAATACTTATTAGTATGTAATATATAATACCAAATATTTTGATATATACATTATTACAGCATTTTCCCCTCATAAAATATCAATAATCATAGCTGCAGATATTTCAACATAATGAATAATATTATATTATATTAGTTAAGATTAATATATAATACTGTTCTCAAGTGCCGCTGCAAAGTAAACATAAATAAACCTTCTTATCTTCTTAATAAGGATGCTATAAAGATAAATAGAAGGATAACACTGCAATATAAATTAGTTATTAAGTTACAAACTAATATATCATTGAAGTAGGTACTCAATGTTATTTAAAAGATAAAAATTATTTTACTTTTATTGTACAGCGATGTATGGTAAGAATTAAGTACAAAGATAATACCATATTCAATTCATACAATTTTTTTTTATAGACAATATATAAGTACTCGTATAATAAACTAAATGTATTTGAGATCAATATTTATCTATGATAATTCATAATATATTATATTATATTATATTATATATATATATATACAAATATATAATAATAATATATAATTATATATTGTATATTTATACAATTGGGTATTTTGAACAATATAATTATTTACCTTTTTTTTGCTAATTACGAATTCTGCACATTTTTAAACGTTTCACGATACTAATGTATAACACGAAAATACGATTAAGAAAAAAATGTTTAGCAGCGACCATATTTTTCTCTCCGTCGATCTTCTCGTTGTGTGTTGTGACTGAATTAAGTTGGAGGAGTTGAATCTCACTTGTGCGTATTTGCAAAATATTTTATTTTAATATTTTCATAAATATAGTGAACAGACTACTTCTCCACTTAATTCACGAATTCACTTTCTATATTCGGCATTTGAATGCGTATACGAAAAATAGGTCGCTGCAACTTTATTATTATTCACTAATTTTTGTAATTTTATTACCTAATATATTTTACAATTTTCTTAACAGATTTACATTATAATAATTGTATTGACTATATTAACATGAAAAAAAGCAATATTGGTTAACGTTAAAAAATGAAAAAACCGAATAGTAGTCCAATTTTATCTGCAAGAAGTTTATCAAATTACGATAGGATAGAAATCTCAGATTGATTACTCGAATAAAAATAAAAGAAAGAAAAGACTAATAAACGTCATTCGAGTAAATAAAACATACCTACCGAACTTATGTATACTAAAATACAAACTTAAAATTAAACGCGATAATTAATTTTTTTTTTTAATCTTATAAAAAATACAATATTTAATAATTATGAGTATAGTTTGGTATACAGTATAATATTTATGATCGTTTTTCGAAATAAGAAAATAAACAATTCAACAACGAATAATGACACATATTATCATCTATCGACTAAAAAAGAAGGGCTTACAAATTTGAATAGTTTTCGATATAGGCAAATTACATTTTGAAAATACATAAGTACACTAAATAAAACACTTAAACACTTATTTTGAAAATATACATACACTTATCAAATGCAATTTAAATTAGGAGTGGACGATAAATAAACCGATACTTGATAATGATCAATATTGATGGTATCGGTTTAACCGTATCGATTTTTTTTCAAACCGATATTAGACCCGATATCATGTCTGGATTATGAAAAAAATATTTAAAAATCAGGTTTTCAACCAATGTTAATTTCAATATTAAATCGTGGTTTTCGATTTTAAATATCAGATATCGGGTTTAAGTTTTATATCAGTAACATATATTAGAATATCTGGTATCGGTCCATTCCTAATTTAAATTAGAAAATAAATGGAAAAATGTGAAATTAGAGAAAAAAAAAAAATTAAAAAAATTGACTTAAACCCTTGTTGCCTAGAACCGAAGATATACGAGTTAAAAAAAAACACAATATCGAAACTAATTATGTATGAATAAAAAAGACACTACTTTTTAGATAACTTACGCTAATAATAATAATAATAATAATAATAATAATAATAGTAGTAGTAGAACAGTCGAATTTTACCGATTCCGATCAGCTGGAAGAGTTAGATCTGGCACAGGGTACACGATATCAAAACACCATGCATTTTTTTTTCCATACACGGTTCGCAATGTAAAAACGTATAAATATAACATGCCTTGATCCAAACTTCCAACTCATCGGATCGACGAGACTCAAGATATTTTACAGACACCGTCGAAACACGAGAACCATCGTGGGCGATGGTAGGCAGTGAATTCTTACGATGACAGCGGCGAAAAGTACAAAACAAAAAAACTTTTACGACTAGAAGTTGAAAAAAATTAAAATCGTACAAGGCAAAAGAAGACGGTAAAAAAAAGAACCGTATGGATGTTAACGCGTTTTCGGTTCGTTGGATTAGACTACGACAAGCGATATTATGAATCCAATAACGCGGGGCGTGTGCTCTTATATAGGTACCCGGGCGCGTTTCGAGAACGTGGCTCGAACAACAAGTGATTATTAGTAAGTATTATAATAGATAACGTAAGTGAAATAATAAAAAAAAAAATTCATGCGCGCCGTTATCTTTCGAGTATGCGGATGGGCGGATAGACCGCGGATGACTGCTGAAACGACGACGACAAAAAAAAAAAACCACCGTAATGATATGCGTAAAGGTATTAATAGTGTTATTCTCATTATAAACTCGCCTTCAAAACACCGCCACCGCCGTCTTCGTCACCGACAGCGAGATAACATATAACGATTTCGTGTTTGCCTAGAACTACCTAATATACCTATTATACCTAGGTACTACTCGACCGAAGAATAAATACAGATCGTGGTGACGAAATACTTCTGCATGTGTGCCTACCCGTTGCGGCGCGATGAAGACGAGAGGTGTTATAATAACATTACAGGTGCGGTGCGACGGGTAGACATTGTATAGAGTACCTACAGTGCTTGAATTGTGAAACAAATTAACGAGGACGGACACTGGTTTTATGTAACAAACCGTACCAGATATATATATCCTTTTTAGCAGATATCCGAAAAAGAGTAGCAACACCTAATGTAAAGAACAAAAAATGAGTATTACACAAAGTGCTATCGACGAAATGTAATAAAGACGCATAAAACTTTCCAAATGAAAATAATCAAAAATAAGACAAAGATACTGGTTTGAGCCAGAAAACTACAAGATATAATAGCCCAGATATATCTAAATAATCACAAGCTTAACCAAGTTAAACAATTTCCTTATTTAAGAAGCAGGATTACAGAATGTTACAGGGTATGGCCTCCCGGAAAATCCAAATCTGCCTTCAGTAAAAAAGCTAAATTATTCACATCCAAGAAATTAAACCTACAAACATCAAGAAAAGACTCATTTTTTCCTTTATAATTTGTACGAATTTATGAACTCAATCCCAAAATTTGTATATCTCGAGAAAATAAAAAAAAAAACCTTGAGTGGGGCTAGAAACACGTATCCTGGCGTGACTGCGGTGTATAATTCCATTTCGAATTGTATATTCTGTGCAATTTTCGACTGTAACGTATCTAATATGTATTACGGTGTATAATTTCGAATCTGCAGTTTCTTTAAGTCGAATTAATTTCGTTGTTTCACATCACTCGTATTATACGCACTCACAGACAATGATAACCAAAATGTTATTTTATTTTGTTTATGATGGCTATAAGGTTAATTTTGGACAAACACAAGTCCACCCATTTTGATAAGAAATAAAAATAGTTTCTAATAAATTAGGTATTACCTTCATTACCTATCAACTAAACCGTTTACTATAATGATATTTTGTTTTATGCCTACCAAGCTACAAAAGTCCAAAATAGTAACCGTGTACCTATACTAACTGTAATTATTACACTTAAAAATTTCAAAAATCAGAATTTGAGTATATATATAATTTAACCATAAAAATGGAATGAACATGGTAAAAAATTTACGCCTGTCCTTAAGATTAGCGATACCCAAAGCGAAATTTTAAATATTTTAATAATCTACTGTACCAAAATTAGCAATTTTTTTTTTTATGTTAACGCTTGGTCCCAAATCTAAGTTAAAAGCGCGAGGCTAAAGCCTGGGTTCTTCTCCCCATAAGGACGGCTCCGTCGAAAATATGGCCAATCCTGCCCATTTTTAAATTTGTAGAGACCTGTTTTTTACAAAATACTTATATGGACATTTTGTAGGGTAGATTTCAAGAATACAGAAGAGTTATCAACTTACCATTTAAAAAAATACCTCCTAGGATAATGGGGATGGGTGCAGCCACCGTTATAGGCAATTTAATGTTAATAACCTGTTAATAACGATAAACCATTTCTTACGAGAAAACGATTCTGAGCGAAGTTCAGCTGACAGTGATGCTTTGTCAGCAATATATATATACCATATTATAGTAAAATAATTAAATAAACTCTATACATTTTATTTTATAATATTTGTTTAATTCTGTACCGATTTCCCCGGTTTTCCTACGTTTTTCCCATGTTTTTTCCCAGTTTTACACATTTGATGAGAAAACTCCGGAGAAAATCGAAAAACGACCTCTGTAAAGTAACCACCCTTAGACCGAAATTGCTGGAAAAAAATTGTCCACAGAAAAAAAGAAGGCCATCATCATTTTAGTTATACCTATATTTCGTACATTTTCCCGTTTATTTTTGCATTTGATGAGAAAACTCTTGAAAAATCGAAAAATGACCTCCCCTAAAGGGACCTCCACATACCAACTCATTTCAGAAAATATGCTACACGTAAATATCGGAGTAAGCCCCCTGATAGAAAAGTTGTCCACAAAAAAAAAAACCTCTTTGTTAAACCATAAGCTTTTTCGCTCCACTCAGAATCTAAAACAGATATGCAATTTATTATCCTTCCCTACTCCTCCGGTCTAAACATTAAACAGTTATAACTCATAAACGTTAAATCTGATATTTGGTAATGCATACCAATATTTCTAAAAATAAATATTCTCTATTCGAATCTATGTCCAAAAAGGGGGTTCTTATTTGAAAAACAAAAGTATGTACTTATTTAAGATGTATATTGAGTGGGGGTAAAATATTAAAAATGGTTTTAAAATAAAGCTTAAACGATTTACAATAAAAAAAAAAAAAAAACAGAAATCTCATTCACTTAAAATCCTCTAAGATAATCGCTGATAAACGATAAAAACATACTCTATATGTATTTTTATTTGGTAGGTATTTGTTGTTAAAATTTTACGTCTTTAGAAAAATGCTTGAAAATTTAACACAAGTTACATTATAATATGTTGTTATTAGTGGTCTAAAAACAAATTTGAGTTAATGAATTGGATTGTTTTTCATAAGCGTTTTAAGATCAAATTTTGACGAAAATCATAAAAATTAAGGCATTTTAAAATATGGCTTACCGAATTTTGCTCCGAATCGTTAGCAATAGTTTATCCCTACGTATACAGATATAAATTATTTAACGTTATATGTATTCTACCTTTCCAACTTCACACAAACAAAAATTGCTGCACCCGTCCCAGTATCAGTTTTTTTTGTCTTTAAATTAAAAATTGCACAATATTTAATATTATTATGCGCTAAAAATAATATTCTTATTTGTACTTGACGATCGTCGAGCGATGATAATGACAATAGTAGACAAGTCTATTACGAATGGGTTATTCTACATACACTTGCGGGATCAAGTCAACACACGATTGCCTTTCAATACAAATAATTAATAAGGGAGTGGAGCTTTTAGTTCAGAGTACCCAATTATTATATGAAAGCTAGTCCAATATATACACGCATGGTATACATTGTTCTACACGGTCTAAATGAATCTTCCACGATAATATTAATTAATCAAAGTATCAAATCAACTAAACGATTTTTTTTTTTAGCACAGGCCAAATAATAAAATGAAACAAAAAAAAAGACGTCCCAGGATACTGGGGTCAGTTGCAGCCACTGTTATAGATAATTAAATGTATATCTGTAAGCAACGATAAACCATTGCTAACGAGAAAACTATTCTGAGTGCAGTTCAGTTGATAGTGATAATTTTTCAACAATATATATATCATATTATGATCAAATAATTAAATAGCCATTATATATTTTTTGTTTAATATTGTACCGATTTTCCCGTTTTTCCTGCGTTATTTCCGGCTATCCCATGTTTTTTCCCGGTTTTTCACATTTGCTGGGAAAACTCTTGGAAGAATCGAAAGATGACCACCCTAAGGAACTTTTTCAGTCAGATTTCTTCTCAGAATAAGTGATATTATTATAAATCAGAGCAATATTTTCAGTGGAAAAGTTGTTTACAAGAAAAAAAAATGCTAACTTTTGTTCGAAACTCGGATTTGAACTCATGAACCACTTGAATGATAATAGACATATATAACCATTAGATCACGACAAATATTCCTAAAAGAGAAGTTGTACACAGAAAAAAAGGCCATAATATTTTTTTACTAACACCTACATTTCATATATTTTCAATTTTTTTGACATTTTATCCCGGTTTTTCTAAGATATTATGAAAACCACTTAAAAAATCAATAAATTACCATTGAGATTTCCAAAATTTCCTTTCAGAAAATAAGTTACACTTGATAGATCGGAGCAAGATTTCTGGTAGAAAAATTTGCATAACAAATAATCGAGGAGAATTTTTCGATTAAAATAATCCGAGTGAACGATGGCTTGGGTCACCCAAAATGCATTTTTTTTCCTTGTTTAGGTAAAAGAAGAAAAAAATACAAAATATTTTTTTACGGAACACGAGATCGAACTCACTATCCCTGGGAAATAACCATTCAGCTACGACCAACTACTTTAAAAAAGACAATATTTAGTTATTTAACATAACATATAATATCTGTATAATAAACTTCAAAAAGCTATAATTTCGAAACTTAATCAGTTCGCTCAATTCTGACTTTACCATAGTTCTTAAATCGGCAATATATGAATGTTCAAAAATAAAATTTAAAAACTAGATTTGTTCCACATAATTTTTATTCGACGATTTTCGAAAAAATCTGATATTAAAATTCTTTATATAAAAAAATACTACATTAAACTCAAATTGTCTTTTTTTGACCACAATGTAAGACTCTTAATGAACCTCTTGTTAAATTTTCAAGCGTTTCTGTTAAGTCTAACAATTTACCACAGAGTACCTACCTAATAATAATTACGTGCAAAACTGGTAAAATTAAAATATCTATAAAAGCTTAAAAAAAAACAAAAATTTCCCGTTTTTCTTACATTTTATCCAGATTTTTCTCAGATATTACGAAAATCGCTTGGAAAATCAAAAAAATGATCTTCCTTAAAAGTCAAATAGAAAAAATTGCTATACTTGATACATTGGAGTAAAATTTTTGTTAGAAAAGTTGTTTAGATAAAAAATAATAATAATAAACATAATTGTAAAATCAACACATTCCTTGCTTTGCTCAGATTCTAAAATGAGAGTAACATTCATGTAAAGTAACAAGAAGACATATTTAGTTAAAAACTTTTCTAAAGTACACCAGTTGTGTTCAAATTGCTATAAATTCAAGTTATTGAATCAATCAAAAATTAGCCTAAAAATTGCAAAGACAAAACAAAATTACACAAGACAGAATCTTAAATTATAAACATTTAATTTATCGTATTATATTATGTTTTAACAATATCTGCATGCTGAAACAGTTTTGCTAAAAACTGTAAAGTAATAAATAATGATTAATCAATTTTTAAGTGTTTTTCGTAAGACATGTGATAATATAATATAATCTTAGAATTCTGATAAATTTTAGTGCTTTGTACATGTATGTTCTTACTACCTACTTAAAAAAAGTTTTACGCAGGTATGTAGTTTTGTTATTTTTATCATTTATCACGCGATGTACTTGTATATCTTATGTATTGTATATTGTAAAATGTTTTTTTTTTTTTTTAATAATATAATGAATTTCTAAGTAGTTGAATAGAACAAACATTTTCACAATCCTTAAAACGGTAAACCAGTGTTTCTCAACCTTATTGACTGTATGAACCACTTAAAGAACTTTCAACAGGTCACGGGCCACATTGATTTGAGAGAGACTTTTAAATTTGGAGAGTAGTGATGATTATTTGATTTTACAATGTTTTTTTTTAAATTTATATCTGTTAACAACTTTTCCAAAAGTCTTGCTCCAATATATCAAGTCTAGCACTTTTTTTGAAAGACAATTTTATCTAATTGGTACTAAAGGGAGGTAATTTTTTTATTTTCTAAGTGATTTTGATAATAATTACACAAAATCTGGAAAAAAAGTGAAAATTTACCAACTGTATTATTTTCAATTTTATTTTATTTTATTTTTTTTTTTTTGTAATTCAACTAAAAATATTTATGGGGACGTATTAAAATTCGTGGTCTTTTAAAACATGTACACCAATATTGTTAACAAAGCAACATTATATCAACTGAACTTAGCTCAGAATCATTTTTTGTTAGCAATGATTTATCATTGCATACAGTCATAAATTAAATTCCCCTCTATATCCTACCTTCCCAACTTCAATAAATGCGAAATATGTTCGTCATATTAAATTTTGATTGGAGCGAAGAATGTATTGATTTTACAATGAAGTTTTTTTTTTTTTTTTATGTTAACGCTTTTTCTACCAGAAAACTTACTTCAATTATCAGGTATAGCCTTTTTTCTGAAAGGAAATATCTCTGGGTGGTATTTTAAAAAGAGCATTTTGTGAAATTCTCATTAATATTCGAGATAATGAGGAAAACCTGGTTCTTTAGGTTAACAAATATTGAAAAATTAAAAATAAGGTTGTCATTGGCTACCGTCTTTATTTGTATTTTTGTTATTATTTTAATCTTTCTAAACAATCATTGTTGTCATGAAAACGCATATAGTTGAAATCATTTTATCATAATATGAAATTTATAGAGTTACCAAAGCAATAAAATCAACCCGGTTTTTCACATTTTCTGGGAAATCTCTTCGAAAAATCGAAAAATTTGTTATACATACACATTTTTAAATAATTAACTATGAATTTCAAATATTATTTAAAAATCATTGCTTCACCTCACCATGGTTATTTAAAAATAATATAGTATAAACCCACAAGTAGGTAAATATTGTGTTAAATTTCAATAAAAAAATTTGGGAAAACTATAGCAAACTTAATTTTAAAATTAGAATTACAATAGTTACAATTGTTAGATATAGAATGAAATTTAAATTATTTGGTGTTTTTTCAATTTGTTCTAACACAGAAAAGTATTGATTATTAAGGTTTTTTTTATTATAAAAAAAAACATAATAACAATAAATAATAGTACTGAAAACATTTTGGGATATGTATTTTCAATTGTTTTAATAATAATATTATTTTATGAAGTGGTGGATTTTATTAATCTTCTAAGGGGGTGAAGGGGAGGAAATATTATTTTATTTTGAATATTGAATACACTGTATAATACAATTATATTATTTACTATTAAAATATTAACTCACTCAAGCCTATAAAGTAACAACTATGACTATAGATAGTACAACCCAGGAGGATTGAGGAGGGATGCAGTCCTCCTATTACTGACTGCACTTAAGAGGCAAGATCTTCATCAAGAAACATAATTTTCTATTGATATGCAATTACACTGAAGACTCAAGTGAATCTAATTAATAGGTAAATGTTTAATATAAGTGCATAAATATGAATAGTTACAGACATTTTTAGGAAAATACATTCTTTTGGCATATGCATCCTATTTTTAAAACTAAAAGTTAATAGACAAATATGTTATAAATTTGTTGTCCTATGCAATACGTCATAAGGTAAAATATCGAAAATATTATAAATAATAACATAATAAATAACTTTCATATAACTTATATCTGGAAAAAAATCCAAAATCAAATTTACTTAAAATGTTCGTATAACGCTTAAAAGTTCATAATAAAACAATGTAATCGCTCTGTACATAATTAATATTATTATGACGCATTGAATATATATTTTTTATTTTTCATACTGTGTTATCTGCATATGATAATTCTTTAGATGCTTACCGAATACACACCAATGATGACATGTTTTTTTTTATATAGATGTATGGTAAACAAAAAATTACACACTCATATCCCACAATAGTGCATTGAATGGGAGGGTCAAAAAACCTGCTACCATTATCAATGAATAAATATTGGTTTATTTGTTCAGGTGAACAGATAAAACGATGTCAACTCATAAAATAAAATGGATTAATGAAAAAAAAAAAAAAAATAGTTTAAACATACTATTTATAATAGTATATATTATTATATTCTACTAAGACTTTATAATCTAGGTACAACAATTGATAGGTACCTAGGTATTGAGGTATTGAATATAAATTTGGACTAACAAATATTCCTAATTCCTCTTTTATTAATAAAATTATTGAAAATAAACACTAATCAAAATTATTAAAATAGTTAATACATATAAATAAATATATTAATTAATTAATTTCCCAACTCATTAAAATATACAGTCTGATGTCTATTTCTGGGAATTATTATAAGAGGCAAAAATTCCTAGAAGAAAGGGGGTAAAACAGTTTCTAAAATAATTTGATGGTTGGTGTATAGATGGTGAACATTTTGTAGGTGGTAGGTAATTACTGATTACTGATTAATGTACCATAAACTTATATAGTTAACTTATAGTATATATCTTGTTCATCTTAGTTTTGTAATTTTTTATTTTGGTTTCTAATAATAATAAGATACATTTCTATTCTATAGTTTACAATATATTAATTCTTACCTACATACCTAATAGTTTTAGATTCTGAGCAGAGCGAGGAATGTATAGGTTTTACAATGACATTTATTTTATTTTTTTTCTGTGAACAACTTTTCCACCATCGATTTTTTACTGATTTTCAAGTATAGCACTTTTTTTGAAAGGAAATCTGATTAGATAGGCATTTCAGGGTCAATTTTTTATTTTTCTGGGAGTTTTCCCAATAAATATGAAAAACATAGGTAAACTTGGAAAAACTTGGGAAAAACAGGATTATATCAATCTATATAAAATTAGACAAATATTATTAAAAAAAATATATAATGCCTATTTAATTATTAAAAATTACAAAATGTATTATTTTCAATTTTTTTTTTTTTGTTTTAATTAAATTTAAAATATTCATAGAGACTTGAAATTTGGAAAAAAAACTTGTATTTGCCTTTTCTACAATTTTCAAATATTTGAGCCATTTTTAAGCTATTTAGAGACATTGTTTTTTTAGATAATTATTTGTATTTGATTAGGTTCTCTGTGGATAAAATTGTTAGATTAAACAGAAATCCTTAATAATTTAACAGTAGGTTCATTATAGGTCATACTTTGTGGTAAAAAAAAAAAAAAATATTGAGTTTGATGTGGTATATTACTTTTTAAGAATTTAATATCAAATTTTGATATAAATTGCTCAGAATCGTTCTTCATTAGTAAAGATTGATCAGTGTATACATATATACCCACATTAAATTCTCCTCTATATCTTAAATTTCTAACTTCTCACCTACAACAGCACCCATCATGCAAAGTATGTACTTTTTTTTAAGGTTCATGAATACAGTTAACAATTTTATGTTTTATTTTTTTTTGAAAAAATACACCTGTTCTAGAATTATGCATTCCAAGTTATTACGGCTTCCCATAATGATATTATAGTTTTTAATAATTTATAAGGGGTCTAATTATATATTGGTCTAATTCATCATATTATTTAAGTACTGTCTAGATCAACAGTTTTATATTGTAATTTATTTCGCAAATTTCACTACAACTTCTTTATAATATATAGATACTAAGATGTAGTTGAAACAAATTAACACAATATTCTTTTGTGATTATATTTTAATACTAATTGTCACATTATGCTAGGTATATAGGTAGATATATAATTAATGTGTGCTTTTATAAATAATGCCTAAAATAAATGTTTAATAACTATAAAACTTAATTAAACTTAAACTTACAATTGTGGCCTAATAAAAATAGCCTAATATTATTATACTTGGCTATTTTTAGTATTATTATACTTTAAAAGGAAAAGAGGGGTCTTGACTATAAGAGGACAATATTCTAGACTCAACATTTTAAAACCATCATAGTGTTCATGGTTTAACTAACTAATTAAATTGTGGATTAAAAAAAATAAAATAATTTAACTGATAAGAGACGAATTGCTAAAGTGTGACATCATATATGGATAAAATGTTTTTTTTTAATATAATTCATAAGCATTAGTCATATTAAAAAATGTGTAAGAGGATAAAAAAAAATGAATAACTACTTGTACAAAAATATAAAATAATTAAAAATGTAAAATATTTCTAAGTGTTTAAATACTATTAGGCATGGTTATTTATTTATTTTTTTACAGTACTTCATGATAATATTATTTTTCTTTCATAAATATCAATAAATATATTTTTCAAAATAAACTTGAGTTATGCCTACAATAAAGATTATTTTTTTAGTTATTAGGGTGAACAACACGACATACATAGCAAGTGTTAGAAAAAATACTAAGGTTCATACTCATTCAAAACTATTACTGTAAACATTATTTCAACATAACATATTAAGTTTCCAAGTATTTATTTAGTATTTTAAAAATGTAATTTGTAAAAAACTAAATAAATATGAATATTGATAATATTGGAATATATTAATGATTAGAAGGTAAAAGGAAATAAGCTCCAATTTCCAAATTTTTTTCAAGAGAGATCTGAAAAATTAATATTTTACATAAATTGTTTTACAGCTTTAGAACAATGTATAACAATGTATATTTGAGACTTAATATTAAACATTATGGATTGTTACAGTTTTTATTGATTAATTGTTCATAATTATGTCATTATAGTAAATTTAAAAAAATGTCTCTTACTTTGTTTTCCATATCTCTTACACCCTAGAGTAATTTTATTGAAATATAACTAATATTTTTTTTTCATATTATTGATTAGTCAATAGTGATTTTTAGTATAAGTATTTCAAAAATAATATAATATAAAATTAAGAATTTATTAATTAGGTAATTGATTGAATTAAAATAAGCCAAATCATACAAAATTTACCAAGCTCTAATCACTACTTATTTTTTAAAGATTTCATGTACTTTTGATAATCATAACAATAAATACAATACACTGAGTTCTTAAGCATTATACATTATACATATTCTTAAAGATGGAAAAAAAAATGACCTTAAAGTACCACTCTAGGAAAATTCCCTTTCAGAAAATGTGCTATGCTTGATACTTTGGAGCAAGATTTCTGATAGAATTTTTACACAGTATAAAAAAAACAAAAATAATATAAAATAATAAACACCATTGTAAAACCAATACATTCCTCACTTCACTCAGAATACCAGTGGGAATGTTTCCCAACTTCTCATCTACAACAGTGTGTCCTATTTATCACCTTAAATAGTTAAACATTGGATAGCCAATTTACAAAATACTGATCATTTATTATAAGAAATATAAAATAAATTAGTTGCTAAAATAATAACATGAGTTGTTAGAGTAAATTTTTTGTATTATTTTATTAAGAGTGTGAGTTCATTTTTATCAATTGTTTATCATTTGACTCAATAAAACCAATAGATAAAAAGATATATTCATATGAAAATCATCTCTATTGGTTAATCATAATTATTTCATGTATCAGAAATAATTTATAATTTTACAAGTATTGTGATAGTATAAAATAAAAATGTAAATATGTGCACTTATTTTTACTTCTAAACTTTTTTATTATAATTATCACTCTTATGAATCCCTATGATCTTTTGTAGATTCAAATTATTATCAATATCTTACATATTTTACATAATTGTTTAAATAACCAAATTGTATTTAATAATCAAACCATCTAAATACAATAGACTCTTAGTAAACTATTGTATTGCATTAGCATAAATCAGTATGTATGCATTATTTACATATTTTAATAAAATTAAGGTTTTTCAATAAGTAAAAATATGTATTTATGATCTGGTATCTGCCAGATTACTAAGAGTCTACTATATGTATCAAAATTTATTAGCAATGTTTACTCACCGCATCTGCTAACTGTTCATAATTCAATCCAACCATATATTTATTATTTTGTTTTTTATTGACCACTACCAATCCATGTTGTGGCTCAATCCAACATTCAGTTATCAACTGATAATCATCTTCTGTAGTTGGCAGTGAATAACAATCATTACTATCACCAGACTCTGAAGTGATCATATTTTTTTTTTGTTTTTGACTTGCATCTTCAATTGATGATGTTGATGTTGATTTATCATCTACATTTTTTTTTTTCAATAAAGTAATCTGATGTACATTATCATTATATTTTGTTCGAAATTTATGTGATATATTTGGTGGAAATAGAACATACTGAATGAGACAATGACTGGTTGGTGTACTTGGACAAGCCTTTGATCCCTATAAAACAATACAATGAATAACAATATACTTATTTAATGTTTAGTTTTTGTTAAATAGTATTAAATTTTAGTTTTAAACTAAATTGTGAACTATAAAATGGTCTACTTTTAATTTATAAAATGTAAAAAACCCATTATCATTTAATAATTTATAATTAAAGGTAAATTATTTAGAAATTACAATAATTTCATATACTATTCTAAGAATAGCATGTGAATGAAAATTGCACCATTATCAGGTTACTAATAAAACATATTCATAAAGAAACAAAATTAAATATATATATATATATAAAAATGATCAAATATGAATTACATTTAAGGAAAAAAATAATAGGTAGGCATTTAAAATTTTTAACTAAAACAATAGTAATATAGAATGATGGAACAAAACTAAATCTTCATTCATGAAAATAAATGTTAATATTACTTAAATTAATATTATCTTAAACATTTTGTTCAATTCTATAACTATTATAGATTACTCAATAATATTAGTAGTTTAATCAAAACAAAATAATTTTATTTATCACTACTAAAGCTAAGTCCTTTTCCCATAGTTGAACTATAGTTTGTATATTTTTATTATAATATAACCATGATTAACCATAATATAATTATTTAAAAATGCTAAATAAAACACAAATATATTACAGAATGATTTAGAATAACCAATTCACTAAAATATAGTATTAGCAAAATTAGCTCCTCTAGCAACCAAATCAATACAATTTATCAGTATTCTTAAAATAAAGTTTGTTGTTATGTTAATTTGGTTGCCTAACTTAAGTTACTTAGGCCGTGTCTCACCAACATAAATGTTGATTTTTAAATGGAGTTTATAAGATAATCAACCAATTGTGGTCAGTTATCAACCATAAATTGGGTTTAATAATCAGATTAACAGCCCTTAGTCATTCATTGGTAGTAGTATATCTAAATGTGGTATGTCATTGATTTAATAGTACAGCTGTATAACTGAACAGTTAAAAAATTGAGTATAACAGATTCCTTATAATTTTCTTTAATAATATATTATGGTTTACACTCAGCTGATAGTTTATTTGAGTAAAATGTATGTTATAACACTAGTGATAATATTTTAATAAGGAATGATGGCTGATCTAAAAAATAATGATAACTATATGCAAAGAAAATAATGATGAATAAAATTTGTTTTAAAATGGTCATCATATTTTACTTACATGCATTTTAAATAGGTACACAAGACCTATTCAAATTTTCAAAATATTTAAGCTATTTTTAAGATATTTAGAGACATTAATTTTTTAGATAATTATTTTTATTTGGTAGGTACTATGTGGATAAGAATTGTTAGACTAAACAAAAATCCTTAATAATTTAACAGGAGGCTCATTATAGGTTATACTTTATGGTAAAAAAAAATATTGAGTTTGATGTGGTATATTGTTTTTATAAGAATTTTAATATCAAGTTTTGATTAAATTGTAAATATTATGGCCTTTTAAAACATATACATTGTACAACCTCCACTCAGAATAATTTTTTGTTAGCAATGATTTATCATTACAGACATAAATTAAATTCCCCTCTATATCCTACCTTCTCAACTTCAATAACCTTCCCTCTACAACAGTAACTGCAGTAAAAGTAGTATTTTTTTTGGTTTTACTCAATTATAAAAAACTCTTTAGAAAATTAAAAAATTACTTTCACAATGTACCTACTGGATGAAATTTCCTTTCAAAAAAGGTGCTCCACTTATACATCAGATCAAGATTTTTGGTATAAATATAAAAATTAAAAATACTAAATACAAAAACACACATCATAGTAAATTCAAATGATCCTTCACTACACTCTTAAATCTAAAATTACACACAGGCTAAAATATTACAAATGTGTTAAGTCAAAAATTAGAGCAAGGAACAATCATTAATGCACTCACGAATTATACCTTACCAAAAATTGGGTGAAGGGGAATGGAACAAATGCCTATACTCTATGTCTGTGCTAGCAAGAGTACACAAGTCTTGTGTGGTATCCATCCATACAAAAACTGTTTGTGGTGTGACACTAAATGAATCCTACTTCTTAAAAAATACACATCTCCACAAAATTGTACCAATAACAGCTATTACAACTCCAAACATTTAATGTTCAATGTAGATATTGAAAGGTCCAACCTCACAATAAACAAACATATACATAACAAGGAAGTACATAAATTAATACTAAAATCTAATGTGTTTTTGAAATTTACAAAATTTGTACATATCCTACATATCAAAGCAAAAAAATTAAAACCCGATCCATTATTATTACTTTCAACTCAAAAGTCCTACTTACACCAATCATGGTGGACACACACATCAAGGATCTGTAAGGATTGCCTTACCCCACCCATACATGATTAGATATATTATCTCTAATCTTTCCGATATTTACTTCTTATCCATAATATAAAGGTCAACTTTTCTACATTTTCATCCAATACATACTTATAATGTATTCATCCCATCTACCTATCTTCTAAATTTCTTTTGCCATCCAATTATAATATTTTATTCAATGATATATTAGCTAGTCTACACTCATTAGTAAAATCATATTCTATGGATCCTGACAGAATTTCCTGTTTCTAACTTGCTGTGTTAAGTCTATAGCATAACCAATTTCCCTATATTAAAAATCTCTATCTGAAGGAGTATTACTCCTTCAAGGGTAGGGAAGAGGAAACTTACTTTTATAAAACAAAATTTAAAATTGATTAAAACCTACTTTAATAATATATCTAAGACTAATTTAAAATTTTAAGCGGAATTTAGAAAAAAAAATTTAATTTGAAATTGCAGAAATTGTACATCACTAATTTTTATACCTAACTATATTTATTTAACTATATGTTTGCATTTATATTTATATTTATATTTATACCTATACTTATGTCACTTTGTGGCTTTTTGGCATAAATATAATAATATCAAATTTATTATTGATAATTATAAAAAATACTAACTTCAATCATGTCTACTTGTAAAACCATGTTTATGATTCCAGTTGATGAATGTGCAAATCGGAATCCTTCCTTTAATCGTACACTAAAAACAAATACATTTTAAAATACTTCTAAGATAGATAAATACACTAGTGTAGTATTTTAATTATAATTATAACATATTATAATAGAAAAAATTTAATAAAAATTAATAAAATATTTTTAAAGTATACTAACAAATTACATTAAAAAAATAGTAAAAGATTATTAAAAGCTTTTTAGAAGAATACACTATAAAATGAATATCTTTAAAATTTTTCAATAACATGAAAACTCAATTGAAATATAAATATTTGCAGTCATTATTCCTGTGAATAAATTTTGTAAAAGAATTTGATTATTTTTAATATCTCCTAATATATTACAATAGATATATATTCATGGGACACTGTGTATACAAACAGACAGAATAAAGGAAACAATTATTAAAGCATATTTAATACAAATATCAGAGAATTATCAAGTTGAGCATTAGAGTTTTTAATTTTTAGCAATTCCTAAAAAATATATATTATGTTCTTAGGTTAAAGATAGCACTATGTAGAATTGAGGAGCCTAGAGATTTAGGTATTTATGAAATCTAAAAACAACACATATTGTTGCTGACTATATTTCAATAGTAAACACTTACTTGGTTAATACTGATAGAGTCCGAGCTAAATGTAATTGAAGATTTGGAGATACATTGCTAAAACAGTTACTGTAGTAACTACGTCCACTACTCCATATCCATCGTCTATGATACAAATAACGAGATAGGGTAGTTGTTGCTGTGACAGCTTTTAATTCCACTTTAGTTGAAATATCTGCAGCAACATCTAGTATTTGTCTACGCTTTGATTTATAATTTATATTTTGTAAATTAGATACTGAGACACCTGGATTAGGTTGTGAGCCATCTGGAAATATGACTGTGGTGAATTGGGAAGGAATCCGTTCATACCTAAAATTTAATTAAATTTAAATAAAAAAAAACTGAATATTTCATTTTTAATATGTAAATTTTATAAAAATTATTTTTATACCTAACAAGGATCTTTTCCAATGGTTTGTCTAATAAATACACATATTTTTGTAACCTTGTAGATTTTTTTTTTACTTTTAATTCTGTTTCTTCTTTCTTTTTTTCCTCTGGTTTTTTTTTTTCATCAGTTGGTTGTTGTTGCTGGTCGTCAGTAGATAACAAATAATTCACTACTGTAGTTGAGTCCAACAATACAATTTTGTTTCTCAAATCATCAATAATCTATCATTTAATCAATTAGAATTTAATCAATTAATATCATTTACAATATTAAATAAAATTTATTATTTAAACCTCATAGTGAATAGATGCTGGTACACAGCTTTGAAATGCTAAATGCAATACAACACAACAACAAGATGGTGCCTTCAAGGAAACACGTGCAATACAAAATGATAAATTGCCTGTTAGTGTCTCACTATAAAAAATATAATTATACAAACATAAATTTAATAATGCATACAAATAGCATACAAACACAAAAATAGTTATCTATTATATTACTTTTTATTTAAACATTTTACATAAGAGTGATCATCAATCAAAACAAATGTACACCAATGTTTCAGTAAAGCAAACAATGATTTAGCTGCTTTTCTGCATGTTACAGTCATAATGGTATATGGTTCATTTTCTATGTTTGGCATATGTAACCAACGGGGAAGGGGACGATCATGTCTTAGCAATAATACACCACCACCAATCCTGTACGTGGAAAACCATTTGGGCCATTGTGATTCAGGGTCTAAAGTGCATACTGGTTTCCAAAAATCCACAAATTGTTGATGTTGTTGATCAATATAATTTTTTTGTTGACCACTAAAATTTAAAATATATTTAATACAATTTTATTAAATTATCATAATACTATTAGGTATAATACTAACTCTAATTTTACTTTATTTTGCTTTAAAGAAAAATAATAATTTGAATTCAATGGTAAATGATAGAATAAAGGCACACCATTAAGCAATGGACTTTTATTTAAAGCTCCAGGAATTGCCAAATTAACTGTTGATTTTGATTCTGCTCCATCAGCATTTGCTGTCATTACTATATGATCAATAATACTATTTAAACTAAGTGGACTTAAACATATATCATCTATCTCGTCAATTTCTGTTGTTAATGGAATTTCAAGTTTGAGAGGTGATAGATCATGATTTTCGGTTTGCTGTTTTGGTTGATTTTCACTATCAAATAAGTGGCCTGTACTGGGTGAATATGTTTCTAAATGTTTAATTAACACATCGGTTTGTACTATGGACTGCATGGTAGACCAAAATCGAGCAATCAGAGCTTGTCTATACATTGAAGAAATTACTCTAGTAGATGATCTATCACTCATAATGTAGTCAGTTTTTTTTGTAATGGTAGTTGTTGCAGCAGCAAAAGAAATTGATGAGGATCGACAAGATGATAACTGAAATTTGAAGGATCGAGCTGTCTGTGATTGTTCTAAATATTTTTTAGTTTTACTACATGTAATATCGTGTAAAAATTCATATGGACCTAAATATTATAAATGTATCAACAAATTAATAAATATAAACTATACAAATACTGAATATTTAAATGTTATATAATATATTGTAACCTTTGACCACAACAGTGTAATGAATATTTAAAGAATCATCTGGTTGTGGTTGTGGTGGTACTTGTTTTGATTCTGTTGTTGAATCAGATGGATTTTCCGTGATATTTTGAATTACTATTGGCTCCATTGGTATAACTGGTGGTGGCCATTTTGTAATTATATCATACTCAATATATATATGATTAGTCCACGGCAAAACTAATTTTAAATGAAGTTTACATGGATTAGTTATGTCCAGAACAGAATTATTATTGTTTCCTGCATCTTTGAGTTGTATATCCTATATTTATAAATTTATTTGCAATTAATAAAAAATAATATTTCCAAATGTACATAGTTATTAGTTATATATTTTGAAATTGTATAATTATTTTAAACATTAATGAAATATAAATTTTTCACATACAATTTTAAAATGTCTATTTGATTAAACACAATATAAATACCTTTACTAAAAATCCTTCACGCATACGACAACAAATAATATTTTCAAGGTGAGCGTGAACATGATCACTAATTTGTTTTTTAGAAACCAATTGTGGTTCTCTGTTACCATAAAAACTTGAATTCCTTAAACAAAAATGTACATACAATTATAATTAATACTTATTGGTTACTTACACATACACTATACAGTACACAGGAAATCCAAAATACATTGTACTTTGAATATTTTGTTTTAAGTATATAAATTCTAATATTTATTATAATATGCATTACCTTATAGTCCATTCACCCGTACGAACCCGTGGAGGAGTACAACTAAGCTTTGTGATTGGAGACTCCTTAGCATCTCCTCTTTTAAATGACCACATTATGAATTTAGTATGATAATAATTAACAACTAAGTTAGGCAATGTTTTTGGGAAAGAATTTAAGTAAGTACCAGATGTGGCTGTTGCTATAAGCTGCATTAATTCAGGGTATGGCACAAGCCCATGACTGGAATTTGGATGAAATTGACTAGATACATGTAAAAATGAGCATGCCACACCTATAGATCTCAATTGGTTTAAAACCAAATCAAGCACTTGTATGTCAGCCAATGAAATCATGCCATCAGTAATCACAACCAAATCTAAAAAAAAAATGTATAAAAGATTATAAAATGTCACACTAAGAATATTTTATAAAAAACAAATAATTTTAAAATTTAAAAACTCTAAAAAAAAATTACGAAGAAATTAATATTGAATACTTGACACAGAACTAGATTTTGTGTTCTTCATTCAATAAAATACAGTTTTAATTATAAATTATCATAGTACCTAATTTTTAATAAATTAGTAACATCATTTGTATAAACTAATATAATAAGGTGATTATATGTATTATATTGGAATCCAGATATGTCTGACATCATTACTTTATACTATATTTACTGGAATTTAGTCTCTAAAATGTCACTTAAGATCGTGATATGTCAATTGATGAAATTCACCCAATATTATGAAGCAAATATACTAATATATGAAAGTACTAATGCTCTATATCAAGATTGTAATGAATTGAATTTTGAGGAAGAAAATAAAAACACAGATTTTGAAGATGATGTAAAATTTATATTATCTAATAAATACCAATGCATTTCTTATCACACACAAGCACACAATACCTACACAAAATTATAATATTTTATAAAGTCATAATAACTCTAACTTTTACTTAAGCAAGTTGTAAAAGAAGTTATTGAAAGAAGAGGGAAATGAAAAGGATGCTTATTGAGGTATATTTTGTAGTTGTGCAATGTTTTAAATTAATTTAATCTTATGGGCAATGTCAAATTTCATGTTTAATATACCTACTTTAAATATAACAACACAACTTTAAATTTGTTTTGCATTTATTATTATAATGATGTATATATTATACTCATATTTATTTTTGTTAACTAAAATTGTTCTATCAGAACACTATCCAATTAGTAGATATACTCATACTATATTCCCATGTTCTACTATCAAATTTTATGAAGTTGATAGCATGAAACATTATTTTATGACTTATAGATTCATTATTCAATATTAAGGATATAAATGGTTCTTTAAGTCTTAACTTGAAATTTACACGTAATAAAAACATTTATGTGGCTTAAATGTATTTTATTTTACACCATTAATTGCTGCCTTTTTGAAGATAGGGACACATGTGATCAATCCCCACAAATTATTACACAATATTATTGTGGCCAAAATAATATCATGATATTGTCATAATTTTATTTATGATATCATTGATTATTATTACTAGTACCTATTTAATGAATGATGGTAATCAATGATGATATTAACAAACAACTATTGATGATTCCAACAATTAGTGCAGGCTATAAATTGGAAAAACTCAAAACTAAAACTATCTAAAAATTATCTAAATAAAAGTTAAATATCTTTATCTAATCTAAATAAATGTAAAATGTATTTATCTTTATCTGTATCTAGATAAATTTATATAAAATTATCTATAAATGAAATTTGTGTTATCTATTCTCAACACTGCCTGTAACCTATAGGTTACAGTTATAGGTTATAGTATGGCCAATGAATAGTGAGCCACAGCCATTTTTTTCTTATTCAGGGAGTCTACAGCTCTCAGGAACTCTGACAGCTACTGACTTTTCATTGGCATATTATAGCCTGTTTAACCCTAATTATACATATTATTTTTGATAAGTTACTAAAAATTATAAAAAAAAAACAATTTGAAATTGAATGAATGAAAAATAAAAAGAAAAAAATTTGTTTCACAGCTTATTAAACTTGAATGGCAAATAACTAGTGATTTCTTTATTAGTAATGTTCATATACACTCAAAAATATTAAAATATGTCTTATAATATGCAGTAAAAAAAATAATATTTATTTAAAAAATTAACATTTTAGGAGCTAAAAAAAATGTCAAACACTATATAACATATGTTAAATACCTTTTTATTATTTATAATTAAAGTTGATTTTTTAATTTTAACTATAATTACTAAAGATTACTTATAAGAAACTATTACATTTAAACAGATAAATATATCAGATCAAAATACTTAAAAGTCAATATTAATAAGCATATTTAAAATAATAAATTAATAAATAAAAGTACATTTATTACGCTTGAAAAAAGCATATCCAATTAATATTTGTTTTTATTTTGCTTTCAAACAGTCCTAAATAATTACTCTTTGTCTATAAATTAATATCACTGAAAAATATTATTTCAAACTATCTTAGAATTTTTCTATAAAAAGTGATGTTTTAGGTATTATTTGTAATAATTTATTAAAGAAGCCTAAGAAACAAAACTTACTTGATATATTTGATTGTGGTAATAATCTAACAGCTAGCATGCCATATCTTAAAGTGTTTATAAAACCTGAATCAGGATTGTTGTTATTAATAGTTGGCCTATGTTCCTCATTACAACTTGTTCTATTATAGGGACTTTTATTAATATTAGACTTTTGATTTTTAGGAATTTCATTTTCATTTTCTGATGTGTTATTATCATTGTCACAACTCTACAACACAAAAATAATAAAAACAATAAATTAATAGTTATTTAACTTATCAGTTTTATAAAAATTAAATTGTGTACAATTCCAGTTTTTTAAAATTTAGTTTTAAATGTATTATTTTAATGTATAAAACTTAATACTTAATAGTCAATCATTCAGTTAAAATATAATTTAATGACCAATATTAATTCACATAATTTAGATTTTCAATTGTATTTTTATTTTTTTATTATTAAATAGAAAAGAATTTTATATGTACCAAATAAAAAGAAAAGATTTGAAATAACAGTGTATAAGTTATAACAAAGCCTACCATAGTAGTAGGTATAAAATTAATGGTTTTATATTATTCATTATAAATGTTTTTTATACACACTGAAATATTTATTTAATAATAAATATTTCATATTTTTTAATTTTCTGATTATTAAAATCATAAAATTAAAATAGATAATATAAAATACATTAAAAATGAATGGAAAAAGAATCATATTTCTGAAATATATTTAGTACAAATATTTACCTTGGTTTTTTCAATAACTATTTTTGTTTTGGCTAATGAATTTTCAAGGCGATTCATTTCAAATGAAATAGTTCTAAAAAAATGAACAAAATTATGACTATTGATAAGCCATCCTTGCACAAGTACCTGTTGAAAAAATATAACATAATATGTGATGTTTTCATAAGATTGAATATTTCAAGTATACCTGCTGTGCTAATGATGTGAAAAATGGTGTGTGCACTATAACTGTAACATACACTTGAGGCTCAAACAAAATTTTTTTAGATCCCGGGACAATGAACTATAATATTAAAAAATACATGGTTAAAAGAAGTATAATATATTGTAATTATTTTTATATATTAACTTAAATTGTGTCAATACACACAATTTTGACATTATGTTTAATATATATTATAATAATATTAAGTCATCAAAAGAAATATCATACAGGCCTGATAAACCCTTCAATGCTTCGTCTCAGTGCTACCATCATTTCATCAAGCATCACATAACCTCTTTGAATATCCTAAAAGAAAATTGAATCAAACAATACCACTTAATTGTAATTTACTTTAAAACGAAACATCTAAAACATATACTATAAGGATCTTACCACTGTACAGTTAGATGGACTCATGTCTAAACAGTACACCATATTGTAAACTGGTGTCATAAAATATACCCGGGTAAATGTGTCCATCACAAAACTAGTACTTTTAACGCTAGTTTTCTTATTGTTACGTTCTTTTCTTGGTATGAATGACATGATTTTACATGGTTCTTCCATTTCAATGTCCTCAAATTTTTCATCTACCATTTGTACTGTACCCAGACGTTTTAAATACCACATGAGACGCCTATCCGCGTCCATGGTTCTGCCCTCATCAATCATTATGTACACGGACGAGGCGATAATATAGGATTCTAAAGATATTGCCCGTATTAGAGGAATTTCGTAATTAAAAATGTCATTTCCGTTGTCGTTTTTTGGCTAAGTATTAATAATACAATATTATTATTAAATATTAAAAATTATTATGGATTGAATAAAAATATCACATTAATTCTATTTAATAATACCTGTGACTGTGTGCTGATAACAACTGAAGGAACAGAATTACTGTCAGCTTCCGTGGATGACGTTATTGTACAACTATTAGAATTCGTTGATGAAGTTATCATATTACTATTGGTGTCCATTGACAACGTCATTATACAACTAGTAGTATTCGTCGACGACGTCATTGTACAACTACTGGTGTCCGTCGATAATACTATCGTACAACTACTGGTGACCGATGGGGACGTCATTAAACAATTACTGATGTCTGTTGACGGCATCATCATATAACTGTTGGTGTCCGATGACGACGCCATTATATAACTATTGGTATCAGTCGACGTCGTTATTGTACAATTATTGATGTCCGTTGACAAAGTCACTGTACTATTGTCCGTTGACAAAGTCACTGTACTGTTATCCGTTGACAAAGTCACTGTACTGTTGTCCGTTGACAAAGTCACTGAACTGTTGTCCGTCAACGAAAACATTTCCGAACTGTTGTCCGTCGTTTCCATCGTGCAACTGGTGGCAAAATAATAATAATAGGTTAATCGCCGATTCGGTCACATCTCACATACGTTTATCAGAATCTGTGAACACGGTGCTTTCCGAAAATCGTACTGACGTCAAAAAATGTCATTTCGTTTTAACAATGAGAATAATCGAAGAATAATATTATTATACTCGTTTGGCTCGGTACCAATTAAATTGAGATAATTAATTAACTGTAGACTTTGGATAATTTAATCGGACGCGCGATACACGCATACGAGCGAAACAAAAGCAACGTCGAATTACAATTAAGTATTATTATTACTTATTATTAAAATAATGTTTTATTGTTATTGTCGTAAGGAACTGTTTAACGACGAAAGCAATATTGATAACAAAATATTTGTGCGACGCACGTGCCCGCTAACATTGTATATAATGATAAACTACTGCTGCGGCGTAGTCGGGGGCGATGACGTAACAACCAACGATCGAACCCGCAGTTTTGATAATGATCAAAGAAAATGCACGAGGAAAAAATGTAATACCTACCTAGTTTTTTTTTTTTTTATATACCAATGATGGGAGGCAGGGTTATTGTTCGCAAGCCGGGGTGGCTGTCGATCAGTGTCATAGATCACATCACACGTTTATACAGAGTGATCGATTTATTAGATAACCGAATCCCAAAATCACTCATTCCATAAATTAATTATTTATACCAACCTGTAAAGTGTATAATATACTTTAAAGTATTGTCCTTCATTTCTTATAGAAAAAAAAAAAACATTTACTGTATAATATTAAAATTTGTAATTCGTATAATATAATTCAGATTACAAATTATTCAATACAACATAAACGTAAATTCGTCTATATACCTACCTACTAAAACTGGGCACTAAATTGTTAGAAAGTTAAAGTTAAGTTAAAAAGTTGCTTTTTTTAGTAACTTTATAGTTTACAGTTCACCTTATTAGTTTTTATTCATAATAACTTTGTAACATAACTAGTTGAATTGAATGTGGATAATATTCTAATCCAACTCGTTAAAATCAAAATGAAACTATACAATTATTTCTGTTTTTTTTTTTTTTTATTTCAAAAATCCAAATGTTCTGTAAAATATTGAGTATTTTCAATTTTATGACAAAAACATTTTTCTTGTCATATTATTGAATAACAAAATTATAGTCGGCTATAATCATTGAATTATAACACATATCATGATTATATAGTTATAATATAATTCAATGGCTATAATATTCTAGTTATTTTAATATGTTTATGACACTGAGATAGTTACGAATATACTCTATCTTATATTCTCATCTATCTGAGATCAGTGTTCTATGGTAATTGGTAATATAGCCTATAGACTATTAGGTATAATGTTATGTTCATGGTCTATTTTTGTAATATAACTATATAATATAACCAATGTATGCAATATAGGTAATATTATGTTATATTATATTATTACATATAATACATTCTATATCATATTTTTTTTTTTACTGTTATGCGGAATCTATGATTAATATAAGGTACTTTTTAATGAACTAAATGTTTTTCGGAATATAATTGAATAAGTTACAAACCCTAACAAAAATAAAATAAAAGAGATAAATAAACTATTACGTTTAAATTTCTTTATAGTGTCATAGTGAGAGATTATTGTATTTTTCCCCCCTCCCCCTGAATAATCATCCAAAATACTCCACTGGTTATACATGTTTTGAAAGGTCGTAGGTAGTATTTACAATTTGAAAATTATCCTTTTCGTTAATATTCCCGTTTTTCCAAATTATTATGAAAACTGTTTAGAAAATTAAAAATGACCTCCGTAAAGTACTGCAACAAGAAAATTCACTTTCAAAAAAGGTACCACACAAGAAAATCGGAGTGAGATTTCTGGTTGAAATTTTGTACACAATGTATACAAATAAATAAATACATAAACATCATTGTAAAACCAATACATTCATAGCTCCGCTCTGCAGAATCTAAAAAGATAGTGTCAAAATAAATGTCCACAAATCATTAGTTTAAAAATTAGTAATCATAGTGATTTAAAATTTTAGTTTTTCGATAGTTTGGTTAAATTTGGTACCTAGAAGGCTACAACATACATATCGTATGTATCAAAGGTTACAATATATACTTTTTTCTATTGAACACTTTATATCATATATATCGTCACCTCCCCCAAATTAAATCATTTCGGTTTATTATAGGAAAGGAGGAGAATATTTGATCAGTACATCACCGAAATTAAAATCACTCGCAAACAAATCTCAATTTACCCCATCCTTTATGTATTATCATATATTGGGACAATAAGCCTTTTTAGACGTGTGCAGCCACTGTTATAGATAATTTAATGTATACCTGTAAGCAACGATAAACCGTTGCTTACTAAAAAAATTCTAAGAAGAGGTCAGTTGCTTTAGAAAGCAATTTTACTTTGGCGTATCAAAAGTAGTATCTATTTTAAAAATAAATTTTGGTACTTTAAGGCGGTCATTTTTTTTACTTTTCTAGTAAAATTTCTAACAAAATCTAAATTTATGTCTGATACAAGTGAATTTGATTAATATTGTTGGTATAATTTCTGTAAGAGTTTGCTTGTATAGACAATTTGATGATATCTATACATTGTATTTTTTGCTAATTAATAGTGCAAAGAAACAAAATTGGTCAATTATGATTTGATAATTTATTTCCAAACTGAAGGGAAGATTAAATGGAAATGGTGTCAATTTAATAGGTAAAAATATATTTTACGACAACGCTATTTTACAAGATATTAAAATAAAATATCAACGAGTTGTAAGTGTTAAATCAGGTCAGTGTGCAGATAATTATACTAATATAGAGCAGAAATTGTATTTAAACCAAGGGCAATTAGAATTTCCATGACACAAAATTTGAATCATACCATATTTTAAACCATTCGTTTTACATTTTTTATTTGACAGCTGTGGATTATTGTGATCAGTTTTTTTTTTCATGTTCATGCACTTGGTTTTTTTTTTAGATTTTTTTTTACATAAAACTACAGCGGATATTTGAATTGTTTTAACAAAATGAAAAAATTGTATTATTTTTTCCATTTTCATATTACCTTTCAAAATGTTATTCAATAGATCTATTTGCAATATTTTATTTTATTTCAGGAAAATATTACAGTGGCGTAATTTGGAGATGTTTGTTGGGGGATAAAAATGTTTTTACATTTTGCCTATAACCCCCTCCCAAAAAAAAAACAAATTATATTCATCATGGGCACCTTTTAGTGTAATAAATGTATGTACTCATGTGATAATGTGTATGATATTGTTATAATCATTATTCATTTAGATAAAATAATCAGATGAGCGTCGTCGATCCGCGATAAAATAATACTTGACCGTTCGATGGTTTATTTTTGTACCACTACCATAATACAGGTATATTTTTTCAATACTGCAATAGTGATACCTATGCTGCTCTGCCATACAGGGGCGTTCCCTCGCATCTCCCCCCCCCCCGTATGATGTTCTTTTTTGTTATGCAAATTATCCATAATTCTTAAGTACAAATAAGTACAAATGCAACTGGATCTAAATTTCATAAAGATAATTCCGGATCTTGGAAATATTTTGATTGAAACAAGAATGAAACAATTCTAATTTATAAATATTCTCTAAAGGTTGAGATAGAATTGTGGAAAACTAAGTGGAAACAATCAAGTTGCAAAGATTTAATGAAATAATATATTTTTAGAATTATAATTGGAAGTGATTACTTTAATTTAAATTTTAGATTCTGAGTATGGCGAAACATGTACCTATTGGATTTACAATGATTTTTTTTATAAAAATGTATATTTGCCTTTTCTTGGCGGAATAAGTAATTTAAAGACATTTTAATCTTGCGAGTTTTGTACGTAATTTTTGTTCAGTATTTATCTACACTGTGGATAAAATTATTAGACCAAACAGAAATGCTTGAAAATTTAACATGAGATTGAGATTCATTAAATATCATACTTTGTGGAAAAAAAATGTTTTGAACAAAGGCCTATCACTAGAGGTCGGATTTATATTCCCTTAAAATACTGAAATATGATATTTTTATTGTCGTTTAAAATAAGACAATATATTCTCTTAATATTCTTTTAAAATACCAGATTATGTTTTATGTCCTTAAAATTTAATTTGAGTTTTCAACTTAAATTAAATTGTACTATTCATTTGATTTACAACATTTTTAATTTATTTTGCAAATCTTAGAAATTCATGACAGCTAAGGTTATTTTATTATTTCTGATGTGCTTTCAACATCAATAAGAAATATCTAGTGATTAATTTTTATTAGAAACCCAGAGAGATATAAACATAATTCGCTTGTAAAATAAATTTTATTTGTTGATAAATGTTATCAAAACGTCGATTTACGTCCATACAAATAATGGAATCAAAACTAAAAATATTCATAAAATATTCTCAAAATCGCAAATATTCTCTAAACCCAAATATATGCTTTTTTTTATGCAAAATACACTTTATATGTCATGAATTGTGAAAATATCTTATTCCCATTTAACTACATACACTAGAAAAATGTGTAAAATCAAAAATTCAACTTCTACTTATCACTTTTAAATATTTATCGAAATTAAAACATAAATATAGAAAATACTGTTGATCAAATCGCTTGTAAAACGCTGCTTAAAATAAAATTATTTTCTATTTGGTCATCCAATTTGTATTAATTATTATTACTATTATTTTTGTTATTCATAATATCATTATTTATTTAATGTAAAAAAAAAATGAATTTTATTTTTAAATTTTATGGTTTTACTGTATTTGTACAATATATCAGCAGTCTTCTAAGCTAATGTAAGTTGAAATGAAATCAGATATAAAGGTTTTGAGTTTTTGTTGACAAAGTGGTGGTATTCAATAGTAAACATTTTTCAACCCCCCTCCTCCCATAGAATCGACCCAAAGACGCCCCTGAATAATACTATTAATCGAGCTCCGCTCTGAATCGTTTTTTGTTGGCAATGCTTAAATTTGCTTAGGTATAGATATACACTAAATTTTCCTCAATATCTTCCCAATTTCTTATCTATAACAGTGGTCCATCCATCGTGCAAAATATGGTAGTCTTTTTTCTTATCAATCATTAATATTAAATTGAATTATTTCGTCCTCCTTCTACCCATAGTCAAGGTCTAAAGACGCCCCTGAAATATTGTGTCTAGGTGTTCACTGTTGGAAGAAGTATTTATGTTTAAATTATTAAGCTGTTTAACCAGTTACTGCAATACCCCTTGAACAGCTCAGTTACCTCCAATGGAACTTATCTTTAAATTGGACACAGTATTGTCTTTGTGAAATCCTAAGAGTATAAGGTGCAGTCGGAAGGAAATGTACCAGTTGCTAGACTCAGCTAGAGAGTTATAAATTACAATGTTTTGATTAAAAAGTTTAGTAATTTATTTAGTCAAAGTTAAGGAAAAGATAAAAAAAACACAATCAAATAAGGAAGTTATTTAGTTGATAGTTTCCTCTTACCTAAATCTTTAAACATATAGTGAAGACCTTTGTTTTAGTAGATTGGGTCTAAATTTGAATAATATTACAAATAATGATATTAATGGTATAGAGTTAATGACACCCATAGAGTACGAAAGGCACCTTAGAGAAATAAATCTTACGATGATTTTATTTAAAGAAAAAATATATGCTCTTTAATAATATTAAATTAGTTCTTAGGTAAATGTATGTTTTAACTTATTTTATTATTATTTTTAGTTTAAAATTTTGTAATTTAATTATATACAACTAGGAATTAGTTCTTTTAAAAAAAGGGGGTCATGTTATGTACCAGGTTAAAATACACTCATAAGAAATACATTGCATTTTTACCAGATATAGGTAATAGATACTGATTAATGGTTAAATTATTGTCCCACTTTTAAATTAATTTTTGACTAATTGAGACAATTTATTAAAATTCTGTCAGAGATTGGTGATCAACTGTCTCATTCACTGCAGTAACTAATAACATTATTGAATTCAATTACTGCTTTTTTAAATAATAAAATATGTAAGTTGGTTTCCTTATTTAAAAACAAATATTTAAATTAATTTACTAATTTTTTAATTATCAACTACTATGTCAATTCTATTCTAATGTACTAGTGAGCATAAGAAACTACCATGAGATGGGTGACATTTGTAATACATTTTTTAATTATTATCATTACTCAACTGAACATACTAAATTTTTTTTTTAACAGACCACGGAATTGATCATTTTAATATTATTATCATAACATTTTCATTTCATACATCATTTCATACATCATTTTGTATATATTTTATCTAAAAATAATATTAAATTATTTCTATATAATAAAGAATTAACAACAGAAATTATTTAACACATTTTTTGTTATAATATTATAATAGTTTATATTACATTGGAGTGGCGCATCATAATCGACATTTTAAAATTGTACAAAAAAAATATAATATATTGTTATCCAAAGCATGTAATGCGCACACTCACTTAATTATTGCTGCGGCTGTGTTCGAATCGGCATACAAAATAAATCATTTATAATTACTACAATAATAATAATATTTAATAAAAATAATAATAATAATAAAACCAGTATTAATCAAATATTCTAGTATGGTGGTTGTGGTAGCCAATTTTCAAGTCTACAAAATTATTTAGTATTATTATAGATATATCATATATACTACAAATATATGACCATAATTGTATTTTACACACGCATATAATTCACAATTTACACACGCATATAATTCACAATTTACACATATATATTTATTTTACATTATCAAAATGTATATTTTTTGTATTCTTTGGAAAAAATTAAAAATACACATTATAAAATTATTACAGTGGGTGATGCTTATAAGGTTTAAGGTTTTTAGATTCATCAGTCACATATAAGACTCAAAATCATATGAAATGATTTGGATATAACCAAATACATTTTATTATTTCCTCACTTGGCTTATAAGGTTTATAGGTTATAAGACTCACTTTGTGCTGGTTCCAAAGTGAGTCTTATAAGCACACCCACTGTATCTTCTTGTCAGTCGGTTGTTAATTTTATCCAACTGAATTGGATGGAGCACTGCTTAGTACAAACTTATTAAAACAAAATAAAAGAATAGATGATTAAAAACTACATTCACATGCTATAATTTACAAACATAAAATTTTCTAATAAAAAATATTATTGCTTTAGAAAAAGTAAAATTGTCATTATTTACTTGGACACAAAAAATTGTTGGGGTCCGCCTCCAGGTCCTGATGGACCCCCGCCACCACCAGCACCACGGGTATTAGTGGCATATAACTGTTGTTGGAAATTATGAAATTGTTGTGCATAATTTGGATCAGCTGTGGTTGGACCAATAAATGAATTTGCTGCTGGTGGACCACCTCTGAATCCTACAGGACCACCACCTGGACCAGGACCACCTCCACCACCCATAGATGGTGGTAAGGGTTGTGTGGCATCTGGAGGACCTGGACCTCCCATCATTCCTCCCCCTTTATGTTGTTGGGGTGGTGGTCCACCTGAACCTCCACCCATCATCATCATTTGCTGTTGTTGGGAATGACTTGATGGATGGTGAAGGGGAGGCCCTCCTCCACCACCACCAAACATACTATCAGGTCCTCCATTGTAGTTACTACTTACCATACCCATTCCATTGTTGCCACCCCCTAGTCGTATCATACTGCCAGGGCCACCACGCATCATTCCTCGACTATTATTCGGTCCCCCAGGAGGTATGCCACCCATACCACCACCAGGAGGACCACCATTACCACACATCATATCGTTCATTCCAGGGCCTCCATTACTGTTATTGTAACCACCACTGCCTCCTGAATTTGCAAAATACTGTAAATTGTGAGAAGATACTTTACCACCACCATCCATATTAGATAATGGGTTTCCACCACTACCAGGTCCACCTGAAAACCTTTGCAAAAAATCTAACCCAGGTTGCTGTTGCTGTTGTTGATTTTGAGATGCAGGTGGTGCTCCTCTAGGACCACCACTTCTAGAATTGTTGGGCAAATATTGTATAGTGTTTGGTGCACTAGGCTTAACTTGTATATTGGCACCGCCATTATATGGTACACCAGGACCACTTCCAGTTGGTATTCTAGGCATAAGTCTTTGTTGTTGTTGTTGCTGATATTGTTGTTGTTGCATTATTGATGATGATTTTGGAGACATGGGACCGCCACAGTTCTGCATCATCATACTACTATTTCGACCACCTATTGGAGGCATTCCCATTGACATTCCACTTCCTGGTCCTATAGACATGCCACTCCCATTAGGTCCTGAGGGTCCTTGTCCTAATCCTGGTCCCGGCCCATATATCATACGACTTCCACTACCAGGAGGGCCACTTATACCACCATCGTGCATTCCACCACTGCCCAATCCCATTGGACCACACATGGGATCATTATTGTTGCCCATCATATGTATTGGTGGACCATTCCCTCCACCATAAGGTGACATCATTCCACCGCCATGGTGATGTAAAGGAGGTACTCCACTACCATGGTTAACAATTGGAGATGATCCTCCTCCAGCTACATTGTTAGCTAACTGTTGATTCATTTGAGCCAAACTTGATATGGGATCAAAATGTTTCATTGGCTGTTGCTGTGACGTTTGCATACCAGCAGCAGCAGCAGCTGCAGCAGCTGAAGATGGGTTTAAAGGCATATCACCAGGGCCAAGTCTTGATGGGAACCCTAAAGGTGAATCTTTAGGATCAATCATCATACCACCAGGCTTATGTTGTTGTGGTCCACTTCCATAACTCCCAGGATATCGTGAGTCATTCATCATTTGTTGTTGTGGACTAGGTGGACATGTGTAAACACCATTTCTTATTTGTTGCATATTACCCTGCTTAGAAGGACCATTGTTACTTTCCATTGCTGATGGACTAGGTGATGCAAAGTCACTAGGAGTACTGGGGTAACGATTACCAACTTGCATATCCATAGATGAAGGAGAATGATGATTAGAAGGTGTGTTTCCTTGTGAAGATTTCATATTCGAATCAGTCATTATTATATCCAAATTATTTTGGGATGAAGGTACTCTAGAACAATTATATAATTATTATATTATAAATTATATTATGTTTTTATAATAGATAATATTTTAACTAGTGATGGGCACTATTCAATAGTGTCTATTCCAATAGTTGACCTATATTCAATAATTTCTATTGGATGAATAGTTTTTATTCAATTAGTTTTTCTTACAGTTATTATTTAAATGGAATAATTTATATTCAAAAATACAACAATTGGGCATAATTTTGTGTAGAGGCACAGAGCACATTTGAATTATTTTATATGTAGTATTAAATGGTTTATTATAATATTTTTAATGAAACATTTGTGTTTTCTATTATCATTATTTCTTAAAACTATGATTAAAGTATTTTTGAAGTAGATAGATAAACACATATTTAAGATGGTATTTTGCCAAGATCAAAATTAATTTAAATTTAAATTGAGGCTTATTATTGTACATACAATAATAAACAGGTTAAAATATATTCATATTGTTTTCAATTAAAAAAAATGATAATATATAATATAGTTAGTCTATTTCATTGGTATAGTCTAACAAATTATTTGGTTTGAAATAAAATATATAATAATGGCACCTATTCAAATTCACAAACAAAAAGTACTGAATTTCTTGATGTGCACAATTTTTAAAGTGTAAAAAAAAAAATGTACAACCAGGTTAACCTTTTAACATGCAGACATAACATTAAAATTTAATAAATAATAAGACACTGGTAGCATAAATGGAGCCACTAAATTATCAATATAAAAATGGGTAAAATTAATTATTTTATTAGTTATGTTTGGTAATTATTATTATCAGAACTAGATTTTATAAGTATAAATGATTGTAAAAAGTTGTGAAAATTTCCAAATCCAAGATATTTTCATATAATCAACAAACATTTGTTTTCTGAAACCATTTAAGAAAGTAGTCAATTTAAATATAGTTATTTTGAATAAATTATTTACAATTGATAATAAGTTTCTCTATTTTACATTAGTTATTCATACAAGAAAAAAATATATTACTGTAGTTTTAAATGAAATAACATTTTTCAATCATTGAAATTGGGTAAGTCTGTAGTATTTAATACTATAAAATATAATATTTTTTAAGGTTAATAGTTTTGCAAAATAATATATTAATAAAAAAAATAACCTAAGCAATAATGTTTTGTACTAAAAAAGGTGGGATTATATTTTGTTATTTATTTTATTATTGTAGTTTTTTGATTTTTTGATGGTTTTCAATAAAATAACTGGGAAAAACCAGTAATAAAATTATATGTTAAGTATTAGGTTTTGTAACATTCTTAATCTAGTAAGTGAATAAAAAAGTTGATTTTGAATTTCCCTTATAATTTTTTTAATAATTGAGCAAAACTGAAAGACATGAAAAATTTATAAAAATAATGCTTTTGTAATTTGTTATTTTGTTTATTTGTTGTAATATAGTTAAAAATATTCATAAAGGCTTGAAATTCTGAGAGAAAACTTAAATTTACTTTTTCTAAATGTGGTAAAATTTTCAAAACATTTAAACCATTTTTGAGCTATTTATACACAGTTAAAAATAAAATATTTTAAGCGATTTCTGTTGATGTTTTCTATGGAAAAAATTGTTAAGAATATAAACAAAAATGCTTGGGAATTTGACTGACTAGGAGGTTCATTATAAGTAATAATTAATGATCATCAAAAAAAAGTTGAGTGTAATGTAATTTTTTTTTAATATAAGTTATTATAAAATGTTGAAGAAAATCTGCTCAGAATATTTTTTTATTAGCAACAATAATCACTGCACATAAATAAACATTAAATTCACCTCTATATCCTACCTTCCAAACAACCAACCTACAATAGTGTCGCACCAATCCTCAATGTAAGTTATTTTTTTTTTAAATTTCAAAAGGATTCAAAGTTCAAGGTTGATTTAATCTAGATTTTGTTATTTTTAAGTTCTAAAACATTAATACTGTTTTTAACAGTATGCTAATTTATAATTATATTTTGATACTTGTACACTTTATGTATAACAAAGCACACTATACTAGGAACTATACACATTTTTTTAAATTTTTATTTATATTGGTAAGCTTTTGGTTTTACTTGAAAAATAGTCTGTAAAAATTCCTATTCTTTTTAATTACTCAAATTCAAAATAACAAAATTGTATTAAATGTTAAAAACTAAATGTTTTTTGGTGTGACAGTACATCTGACAGTAGCCTGGTTAGGGTATAAATCAGAGTAATCAAATGTGTCAGATTAACTACCATGGAGTACTATAGTAGTTACTCTATACTTAATAACTACAATTGTAAGAGTTACTGATAATCAATTTGTAATAATAACTAAGCCAAAAATGTTGGATACAAAGTCAATATTCTAATTTAATGTAATCTTAAAAATTAGTTCTGCTCATTTGCAGTAGTTTAACAAGTGGTATCCAGATATGCTAGTCTAGATAATATCTGAACCAATGAAAATAATTCTACAAATGACCACATAAAAAATTGGCTTTCATATTTACCACTAACACATAAAGGATTAATAATATTATAATTAACTGATAATACTTTTGAAAACATATATTATAAATATTTTGATTACAAATATAAAAGTTACTGATGTGTAAATAATTAAGAATGTAAATAAATTAGAATATAATATATAGGTAATTTTTTAGGTCAACTTACGAAGGTGACATTGTAGAAGTAGTCGTAGTTGTTGAAGCTGATGAATCTTTTAAACCTGTATTAGGTTGTTTTTGAATGGTAAGTTCTTGGCCATCAAATGTGTTGAGGTACTGTATATGTTGAGGTGAAGGAACAGGCATTAAATTAGGCTCATCTCCTCTTTTTGATAGTTGTTTATTGTGGCAGTATAATCCATCTAAAAGGAAAATTATGAAAAATAATTCAAAATAACATAATATGTTTAATAATTTAATTATATACCAGGAGATTGTTGACCACCACCCCCAGGCTGACCAGGAGTAGCAATGTTAGATGAAGGTGAAAATTCATTAGACATAGGTCCTTTTAGCTTCATTGATGAGCAAGAATTATGACCAGTTCCACTACCAGGTGACATGTGTACAGGTGTACCTGGATTACTTGATTGTAATCTTGATCCATTACCACCTGGAGATCTAACAGCAGTAGGACTCATATTTGAAGAAGGACGGCCTCCAGCTGGAGAATTTAGTGCTGAACATGTCCGGGGAGATGGCAATGATAAATTACTATTTGGTACTCCTGTGCCACTACCAGCCAAAGGAGAATTAGGGCTACAACTGGGTACAGAAACAATAGGTACACTAGCAGATCGAGCAACTGTTTGATGGTATGATGGTGGTGGACCACAACGTATTCCATCTTTTTTTTTATCATCATCATTGATAAATATTGATTTTTGCCAATCAGATGAACAAGAAGTTGGTGTTTTTGGTGGCAATAAGAGATCAGATGAAGAATTTGTTACAGCTGCAGCAGTTGTTACAATAGCATCTACATCCAAATCATCATCAATCGAAGGCATTAAATCATCCATACCACCCACACTACAGTTATCTAGTGGACCTCCTCCAACAGAAGAAGATGATGTAACTGGTGGAGGTTGCTGTTGGGATACTCTGTCATTATTAGGATTTTCAGGAAATAATATTTCTTGGAGTTTCCGAAGTGTAGCCCTAGATTTATCTCGATGCTGCTTTTGTTGAGGTGTTAACTCTTCATCGGGAACTTGAATACCTGAGAAAAAAAACATACAATATAGTATTCCACAGAAATATTTTTAAGCAATATGTTCAAAGGTGTGAACACATATTTTCTAATTTAATACAGTGATGTATAATATTGTAAGAATAAATTATTCAACAAAATCTAACTAATAATTAAGAGTAATATTTCTATTAATAGTATAATTTTAAAATTTTCAATATTAATGAAATGTGCATATATTACATCCTATAATGCCTAAAAGTGATTTAACAAATGTCTCAAAAATTGTTTGGTTACTGTTAAGTGAACAAATATATTCAAATATTATATAGGTGACATTGTCAAGTTTAATAATAATGATATATTCAGTATCCAAAAAAATATAATAATATTAATAAAACCAAACTTGGAAAAATCACACGATGATTGGACAGGTAGTCTTAGTCAAGGAAAATACTCATTTTGATTCTTTTTTTTCTGATTTTACAATATTTTGAAATGAATTACCAAAAATGACAAATAAAAAAAATCAAATATTATACACAAAAGTGTATTACACAATGTAATGATATTCACAATAATAAATAATAAAATATAATATTGTTTGAACATTCATGATTTATTTAGTAAATAAACTAATTACTATGTGTCCATATCTAGCTGTAAGAATCACATTTTTCATCAAAAAAATATCATTATAGCAACTTTTTGTTTTTTAACCTTACACTTAAAATTCATCACAAAATAAGTTTTGGTATATTAAACGTAGATTTAATAATTATTACTATTATTATTAAGTCAGTGTTAAGTTTTTTAAAACTATACATAGTTCTACGAAATTTGTAAATATTGTTTTGATATTACTGACATAATTAAGCAGAATTTAAATATATATATATATATATATATATATATATATATATATTATATTTTGTGTTAAGAAGATAGACTTCTATTGAACATGCATTATATGCATTATATTAGTTTATTTGAAACAAATATCAAAGAAGTGATGATAAAACAATTAATAGTTCTTCACAACAAAATACCGAAAAAAAAACAAATGAGACATTAAAAAAATCATCAACCCAGTCATATCTAAATAATATACCCTATTGTCCTCACCACAAGTAATACATTATTTTATTATAAAATATAATGGCATATTGGCAGCCTATTCAGCAAACGACTCCAAAACACCAAATTTTATATTAAAAGAAAAACAAACAAATATTTGTTAGTATTACTTCATTAGCTGTCTATATTTTATCTGTATTATAATCAAATTTATGTGATTATTTAGTTTTATTTGGTCTGTTCCTTCTAAATTTTTTGTTTTATAGTTAAGATTGATTCAATTTTATTGATTTTAAAAACAAAATAATTTAATTTTTTTTAAAAGATAATAAATTATATTATAATGTCATTTTAGAATCATAAATAAAAGAAAAAATATGAGCACGTGGTTATTAAAATAATATAAAATAATAAATGTTTATTTTTATCATCGATAAATAAATTAGATTGATAGATAAATTGTAAGTGATGATAGGCCAGTTTTTATAAATATTATTTTGTTTTACGATTATCCCTAATTTCATGGACGAAAGCATACTGAAATATTATTATGATACGAATCCAAGTACATTTTTTTTTCTAGTGAATGATATGAAGAAAAGAAAATTCCAATATTTTGGAGTTATGCTGTTTGCTAAATAGGCTGACAATGTTGGATACCATCACAATGTTTTTGTAGATAATATTAAGTGTTTGAATAAGATATTGCTCATAAAACTTATATTAGTGTACCAGTTAATGAGTGTGCTGCTGCTTCTGCAGCTCCTAAAGATGAATTTCCACTCCCAATAGGATCATCAAAATCAACTAGAGAGGGCATCATGGCAGCTAAAGAGTTTTGACTTCCTGGAGAATTACCCGGACCTGATGGTACTACAACCAGAGGACCACTAGAAGATGACATAAGATTATCCATTGAATTTGGTTGACACTTATTAGGACCACCACTCATCATCATGTCTGGCATAATATGGTGATGGGGAGGTCCACTGCCCATTCCAACAGGCCCTCTATGGTGAAGTGCACCAGATGGATGGTGTGGAGGTGGATGATGGGGATGATGAGGGCCTCCACCCATCATTGGTCTATGCATACTATCCATCATATTGGACGGGTGATGTGGATTTGGGTGATGCTGATGATGTGGGTTATGATGATCCATCAAATCTAGATCCATATCATTGATAGGCATACCACCACTACCAGGTCCCATAGAACATATGTTTCCTAAATAACATGGAAAAAACTTCCCCAGTAAAATTTGAATCCAAAAAATAATTTCAAATAATACCTTGTTGGTTCATCATAGAACCAGGACCGCCTATCATTGATGAGTTTGAATTATTACTGCTATTCATCAACATTCCAGGGCCCAATGGCCCACTACGATGATTTGACAATCCCATTATACCATTATTACCAGGTCCACACATTGATCCCATCATATTATGATTTGAAGGATGTTGAAGCTGTTGCTGAGGTCCAGAATCATTTAAGTGATTTCCCTGAAAAATTAAATTGTAATAATTATTAAAATGATAAATTATAAATCAGATCATACTAAACTGATTTTATGTTTGATATGTTATCAAAATCCATAACTAATATTCAATATAGGTAACAAATCACATATAAACCTACCAACAAATAATATATTTTTACAGACTACCAGAATTTTTAAAAGATTGGGCAAAATGGTCTAAGGCAACACAGTTTCACTATTGGATGGAGAAATAGATAATTTGTCCACTGCATGTGTGCAAAAACAGCTGTAACCATTATTTAACAAACAATTTTAATTTAAAGTTTGAAATATAAACAATAATAAAAGCTAATTAACAATGCATACTAAGGGCATATAAACTAAAAAAAAGTATTCAATGAAAAATTCCATATTCCAACCAAGTCATTGCCAACTAAAAAAACAAAAATGTTAAAATCACAAATAAATATTTTTTTATTTTCTTGAAAACTATAAATTGTGTCACTTGGACAATTTTGTAGTGTCACTATTCATTTTACCATCAAGTTAAGGTAGTGTTACCACTGGGTGACTCCTCCCTTCATTTCATCATGTTTTTTATTTACTCATTTATCACATATTCTTATTGTTCCTAGGAACAGATTGTATATTATTCGTATATAAAAAAAAAAAAAAAAAAACTATTCATTTTGCCATTTTGCCCTAACTTATAATGATAGCAATTTGTAAAAGAAAATTTGACTGGGAATGGAGGTCATTTTTAATTTTTCTAGTTGTTTTCCCAATAAATATAAAAACCTGGGAAAAAAACCTTTCTGGGAAAATCAGTACAATATTAAACAAATATTAAAGAAGAAAATATATAATGTCTATTTAATCATTTTACCATAATATGAAATATACATTATCGACAAAGCATCACTATCAACTGAACTCTGCTCAGATTCATTTTTTTCATAGCTAAGGTTTATCATTCCTTATAGAAATACATTAAATTCCCTTCTGTATTTTATTAACCCAACTTACTTCCCACCTACAGCAGTAGTTGCACTCGTCCTTATTATCTTAGGACAGCTTTTATGATGTCTAAATGACCCTCACTTCCATGTATCAGGAGGGCCTACCAATGCCTTTTTTTCTAATGATATATGGGCATGTATATATTTAAGAATATTACGACCCCCTTCTCCTCAGACAAAGAACTAAATCCATCACTGAAATATAGAAATGTATGATGATGAAACTACTAATATTGTTAAAGAATTATTATTCCAAGGCCAATAATACACAAAGTCCAAATTCTCAATTTTCAGTTTAACTAATAGTCAAGTATCTTGAAGATAACACTGAATATATACATAAATTTGAGCTTAAATTTCTGAAAGACTAACTATAAGTAGTTAAACAAAACACGTTGATTCTATAATTTTTATATTATGATACTGACAAATATATTTTAACAACCCAAATTATTAAATTTAATTGTTTAGATGAATACTAGACAGTGCAGTAGATACTATTTAATTTAATTTTTTTGTTAATTTCAAAAGTATGGCTGAGATAGAGACAAAGTAATTTCATAAACACTGAAATTAATTTATTGTTGTGTTTATGCAACAATATTAGAAAATAAAACTATCAATGCTGGAACACGGACAGAGAAAATTTTTACCTGGGAAAAAATCTACATAGAATTTCATTCAACTGAGGAGATTTAGTGGAGTTACTGTAAAGAACAAAATTCTTGTAATGATATTATATTATGATTATATTTAATACAAAATCATCATTCACTAAAATAGTAAATACATAATATAAAAATATCAAATGTTGTTACTGTTTTGATTACTAAGAATAAATAACTATAATTAGGTATTCATTTTATTTATTGGAAAAAAATGTATTTGAATACTCTATTTTAAATTTCTACACATAATAAACTTAATAATTTTTTCATCATCACTCACAATAATGATAATTTAAGAATTATTCTAGTGAGATGATAACTTCCAGTAAGAGCAAGCTAGTACAATTTATTTTAATTGATTAACTGATTAAGTTATTCCAAATTTAATCTATAAGATCTAGCTGGCAGTTAAGAAATTTAGAAATAAAATGTAACAATTAGGTACTGCCTTTTGGCATATCCTTAACTAGAAATTGAGAAAATGAGCGTAAATGACACTATGTACCTACAATTAAAACATAATTTAAATCAATTTAAACCAACTGCTACAAAATAAAAGATATGCATAAAAAATAAATAAATGACATACTCATAAATTTAATGTATATCTGTAGGTAATGACAAACTATTGCTAATGAAAAAAATGATTTTAAGTAAAGTTTAGTTGATAGTGTTACTTTGTCAACCAATATATATTTTATATTATGGCAAAATGATTACAACAATCTGTTCCATGACAATGATTGATTAAAAAAAGACTAAAATATAAAAACTTAATAATAGCAATAAATAAATAAATAAAAATGGTTGCCAATGGCAGCTTTATTTTTAATCTTTCAATATTTTTAAACCTACAGAACTAGGTTTTCATCATTATCTCGAATATTAATGAGAATTTCAAAAAATTGCACCTCTAAAGTGCCACCTAAAGAACATTTCCTTTCAGAAAAAGTACTATACTTGATAATTGGAGAAAGCTTTTTGGTAGAAAGTGTTAACATCAAAAAAAAAATTAAAAAAAAGAAAAAGAATATTGAGTTTATAAAAAAATAAACTAAGGAACTAGATATTTGAAATTTATAATATAATGGTCATATTATATGATTAGTCTATGACTATTATAAAACCTATATAATATCTATTAGTAATGCAAGATTTTATTTTTATAAATATATAATGTTGAATTTTAAAAAATAAATTACTAATTTTATGTGGTCAAAATGTAAATGTGTTGTTTTATCTTATAGTTATATTAGAATGTATTAAAAACCCATTTCAGTCACTTTAAAGAAATTGAAGACAGCAAGTGCATATTATACAGACCAAATTAGAAAAAATATTAGTGGCTAATGTATAAATATTTATATCTTGCATATGTAAATAGACAAAAATAGTACTTAACTGAATATTAAATAAATTCCAATTTAAAGAAATTTGGTAGATATGTGGTTTCATTATAGTAAAATTGTTTATCTATTCACAAAACTGAATCTAAAAAATAACATTTTGTTTGTAATTATGTTAATATTGTTACCTATATAATGATGTTATTCAATTATTTACCTTATGTAAAGAATCATTTATTTTATTTTCATAAAAACATATAATGAAATTATCAATCAAAAATCCTAACTATTCCTATTCTTAAATAAGGTATACAAATTGCCTCATATTATCATCATATTAGAATAAATAAAGAATAGAATAATGAATTAATAAAAATCACATATTCGCATACAATAGAACAATTTCAAAAAATACTTCAGATAAATCAGGAACAGATTATAGTATATTAGTACCTGATGATGATTCCACATAGGCATTCTTGTTCCGGATTGTTGCTGCATTATCGAATTATCCATTGAGGCAGCTGATGGACTATTGCTATTTTTCATTGCCCTTGAATAAGGGGTACCTCCACCATATTTTGGCTGTCCATGAGGTGCTATACCTTTGTTAAGTTGCTGTTGGTGTTTCATTTGTTGTTGAGATGCAACCATAGTATTCATCCATTGTCCAGGATTTTGTCTATTGAACTGGTTGACTTTTAATGGATGTTTCTAGTTAAAGTAAAGAAAATGTTAAATATTTTATTTCATTAAGTGCACCATTAAGAGTAAAATAAAATATATTTCAGTATATTTGTAAAAGCTTATAGTTTAGGCTTAAATTAGCATTTTGTAAAAAGATAATGTGGGCTACTCTACTTAACCCACACCTTAGTATTAATTATTATCTTCAAGTTCAATGCCCCAAGAGAAAAACAGGATTTTAACATATCACTTAATTATATTTATTAATAATGATGGCAACAGCCTGGAAGTATTTTGTAAGCAGATATCTCGCTACTGTATGGATACAAAACCCATACACATACGGAGCTACATAAATATAGGTTGGTTACAAAGCTGAGCAGTAACTGGTTACAAAGTTACAAAAATCTGTAACTTTATAACTTATAAGTTTCATTTAATTTTTTTGTAACTTTTAACTTAACGAGTTACTTTGGTGTGTATGAGAGTAAATTAGTAAATTACTTTTTATTTTAATAAAAAAGTTACAAGTTAGTTTTGATTATTTTGTCATTGATACCTGGCAACTCAAAATTATTTTTCCTGAGGGTATTGGTATGTACCTATGAGGGTGGGCTAGTAAATAATGTCTCTTAATGTGTAACTCAAAACTATTATACATAGAACAATGAATTAAAAATACACGTATAATAAATAAATTACTTTATTTACATACTCTTATTTTTCAACATAACTGCCTTTTAAGGCAATTTACTAGTTTAGAAATGCAGTTTAAAAAAATTCTACAGTTTGAGCATTGAACCCCATCAGTTTAACTTTAACTTTAACTGTCTCATCAGAATTGAATTGTTTACCCTTGTGATATTCTTTAAGCTTAAAAATAAAAAAAATTATATGGGGCCAAATCTGGGCTATAGGGTGAATACGGAATGACTTGAAATCCTAGTGATTCAATTGTTGTTTGAACTGTACATGTGAAGGGGCTGTCATTATAAATTGCATAAATAATAAAATAGTTTTTGCATATACTAAACCAATGACATAAACTATTAAATGTGTATCAAATGAAAATTTTATCATGGATCAAAAATAAAAAAATAGGAGATAAGAGGCAAGCAAAAATATATTTTTATTTACCAAGATATATCAATATACCTTGATTTTTACATAATACTACAATGTGATAACATTTAAATAACATGTTGTTACTATAGCAAAATAGTTTCTAAGATCAATTTATAAAAATTATCTTAAACATTCCTCCAAAAACCAGTAATCCGATGTAAATATGTGATGGCTTATTAATATTTTTGAATTAATTTGAATTATATAAATTAACAATATTATAATATAACAATTAAGTATCCATACAATAAAAGCCAATTAAAAAATAATTTAAAAAGTAACTTTAAGTTGTACATTTTTGATTAGTATAACTAGTAAAAACTGTACCTTACTCAATTACTAAAGTTGAATAACTTGCCTAGCTTTAATTGATTATTAATTGACTAGTTTTTAATAATATAATAACATTCAACAAATTATTGGTATTTGCAATCAAAATTAAATCAACCTACTAAAATTAGCAATGGATGTCAATAACTATTCAATAACAGTAACACAAAAGTAATATTGTTATTTTTAATGCAAGTTCAATTACTAACCTATGCACTTATATTTAAAATAATTTTAAAAACAATTTCATACCTCTAAGAATTTTTTTGTTCGTGGTTGAGCACAATGATAAGCTATAATAGTAGGATATTGACCAGCCAATACAGATTCTGCAGATTTATTTGCTAAGCTAGTAGAAAATACAAAAATTTGACTTTGTTGTTGCATGTACTGTTGCTGTTGTGCATCCATATTTCCACCACTGGTATTTGATTGTTTGTTACTCGTTGGATTGCTACCCAAGATGTTGCTCATCAGCGGTTGTACTCCACCAGGACCATCCATTAAATCTGTAGGTCCTCCACTGCCACCGCCCATTGAAGAAAGTACAACTCGATCACATGATTCTAAAAGTTGACTTTTTAGTAACTAAATAAATTAAAATTCTGAAAACTTACCGAAGTCAGATTCAATAGTAGTAGTAGTTGTACTTGTTGTATTGTTATCTTCTACTTTAATGCCACCATTATTACCATTGTCATCATGTTTAACTAAATAAACAAAATCACGTTATAGTATGATAAAGATAAAAAAAATGACTCATAATGTACTTTTACTAAGACAAATATCATTTGACATTAGTTGTTTTTGATCAGTGTTGGAAGATCCTGGTGATGTGTTACTACTGGCACTTCCACCTCCAACACCACTTTTACTATCAGCTACATCACCACCAGTATTGTCAATTAAAGCTGTCATATCAGATTCGTTTTTAAGAATTATGCTGTCTAAATCGTGATGGAGATCACCGCTATTATTATCTGGCGTTTTGATCATTTGGTTATCATTACCAGCACTAGGGTCCCCCCCTTCACTACTAGATGATGAAGATTTTTTTTCAATGTGTTGCTTCTCCTTGATCATCACACGCGAGCTCGTGTGATTACAGCTCTTATTTAACAGTGCTGTTAAAAAAAAAATATATATATATTTAAAAGTAATTATTTAATCAATATTAATAGTACAAATTCAAAACTAAGGTCACTCGAATATGGTTTGAAAGGTCAGCAAAGGTATATAAACCTTGGATCATAGTCAATGAACAATTTTTTTTTTTTTTAGTAACAATTTACAATCATTATTTTTGATAAAACATAATGAACTAACTAACAGGCAACAAACATTATTTAAAAAGTATACACCTAATAAAGTAGGAGGTACCTATTTGAAATCATATCAACAACATATTTAAAAATGTGAATTTATAATATTAATTCTTAAGGGTCTCTAAATAAAAGACTCCTAAAAATAAAGTCATTCTTTTCCAATAGTAGGAATAGACAAAATAATTATACTTAAATAATTTAATAAAATAAAAAAATAAATATATTTTTATCATATGAAAGGTACAGGGAAAAAACTAGAAAAGTTACTTTTTTTCCAAAATGGCAATATTGGTATCAAATAATTTGTATTGTTTTATGCGATCGAAATAGCAAAAAAACCAGATTAGTCAAAAGTAATGAACGTAAGAAGTTTAAGCCTAAAAAAATAGGTATAATAAATATTAAATTTAATTAATTAAAAGGCAAGATATAATTATCAAGGATTTTGAATGATTTTTCAAAGTTTTGTTTTTTTGTCCTAAAAACTAAGCACCAAAGATATAATATTGTTATTTTATATAAAACTACAGAACCTAAAAATCAATTACTAAATTAATAAAACTAAAAGAAAACAAATGAAAAGTACAAAATACTAGTATAAAATGGGTTTATAAATTAACTCGTCTTAATCCCAGTTAATGCCATACTTACCCTGATCTATGCAAAATAATAAATTAATCCATATTTATTTAAAATTAAATGTGCAAGGTTACCTAAACAAATACTTAAAAATAGATTACACAAATTAATTATTTGTGTAAATATAGGTACTTATCTACTTTTATACCTCTGTTTATACCTATTTGTATCTTTTATAAACTACTTGCATAATACTAATTTTCTTTGATACAGTAATTTCAAAAAATATGTATTGTGTTATGTGTTTAGTGTCATGTATTAGGTAATAAAATTTAAAATACATACTTAAGTATCAAAATGTAATATATATATTAGAAAAATAAACTATATGAATAAATGTACATAAACTAAAATATGTTTTAGCCAAAGTTTTGGCTACACCAAATTCATGTTTAAAATTGTTTCTTTGTCTTTGATGTTTGAATAAATATACATATATATATATATATATACTTTAAACAAATGTATATTGGAGTATGTAAATGGCAAATGATACTACCAACTACAAGATGTTGATTCTTACTTATTTAAGTAAATATTTGATTCTTTAATATTTTGAAATATTAACCTATTTCTTTTCATTGTATAGGTAGCCCAGCAATAAATGATTTGTACTACTGTTCCAAGAAAACAATAATTTGTAACTACTTAATAATAAAATATAATTTATACATGTTTGGTTCACAAAATGAACTGGTTAATATTATTAAAACCTCAGCGAACATACATTATCGTATACATCACTGTATTCAAATAAGCATCATTAATATGGATAGTTATAATGCAATGACAATTAGTTTAATTTTGTTACAGATTAGATGACTACCATAATATTATCGGCATTCTGACAAATACACAACAAGAAATAAGGCTAATACTAAACAGCATAAAATATAAGGCCAATCGATTATGGCCATAACTCACCATCCAGATAAGTAGGTTAAGCGTTCAGCTTAATGAACAACACTCAACAAACACCGAGCAATCGCCTAGCGAGTATATTGAAGAAAGCGTTATGGAACGGTTCTACGTATGTTTCGGCCATTTTCATCGTCCCCGCCGGTGTCGTCCAATATTTGCAGTTCGACAGTCTCTTGTGGCATGATCTTCACAGCCGGGGCTCCTGTACAACACTGAGAACACACACAATTACTCCGTGAGCGAATATTGGCAAACAACGCGAGTCGTGCCGTCTCGTACCTATGCACCACCAGCGACGGCTACTGTTGGACGTAGGCACGTCTTGAAGAGGACAAATGGACGGTCATCGTAGGTACCGCCGACGTCGTCGGTCGGGTGGTCGGTACACCAAACGGGCACCCGGCAGTCGGGTAGCAGAGTATTGACTTACCGACTGACCGCAACGGTATTCGCCGAAAAACCGAGACGATGACAACGGTAACGCGATACAGGCAGCTAGGCTGGCAGTTTTGCGCGAATTCTCTGTACGGCGTCGCCTGATGCCCGGAAAACGTGTGTTCGCGTTTCGAGTCGACGATAGTGTTATCTAGTACCGTCGTCGCGGGAGGACACTGGACACGGTCGAAACGGCGGCCGCGTCGTTCCTCCAATACTCAATCGGCACCCGCGACGTAGGGAAAACGAAATATAATATACCTACGCACCGGTTATGTAAATAAAATCTATCGGTCGTCGAGCGGTCCGGAAAAAGTGAGTAAGTGCACCAGCGGGTGCCTAGTGTCTAATTAGCGCCTATCGGTAACGAGCAAAATAACAACAACGTAACGCTTGCTTACGCACACTCACGCGATCTAATATATATCGTAGTTATTGTAATGTGAAAAATGCGGAGCGGTCGGGCCGCGGGACGGTGGCACGGTGCGGCGCTCGGCAATGGAGAGGGAAGGGTAAATAAATAAACACGGCGATGACTACGACATCGGCGGCGCATCGGCCATTTTGACCGCGGCGTGGAGGCGAAAACGACGACGAAGAGCGTAGGTACCGCGGTAGTGGTATGAATGGTTATACACCGCGGTGCAGCCGGGTCCGTGGCGCGGCGGCCGGTGGTACGTGGTGGGGAAAAAAATTCCTATCGCCGCCGCGCCGTATACCCCCTCCCAGTGGAAATCGCACTACGCGTGGATAGCGCGACCGACGACCACCGCTCGACGCGACGGAGTTTCACAATACGATATTATGTACTACACAACCGATGCAAACGCGTTCGTTTTGTTCACGTCCCGCCGCCGCTGAGCATTGTGCAAGGCTGTAATATACCTACATAACCGTATGAAATGCGATAAAAACCAAACGGAATCCATCATTGGAAAAAAAAAATTACGCACAATGGGTGGGCCACTGTTGTAAGTGAGAAGTTAAGAAAGTAGGATATAGAAGGAAATTTAATGTATATATCTACACGCAACAATTAACCTTGGCTAACGAAAAACGATTCTGAGCGGAAAGCCCGTGATATTTACGATTTGAAAATAATTCACTTCATACATTTTCCCGGTTTTTCTCTCTTATTTATAAAAATCCTTGGGAAAATCAAAATATATCCTCCCTAAAGTACCACCCCGGTCAAATTTTCTTTCAGAAATAGTGCTACACTTGAAAATCAAAGCGAATTTCTGGTAAAAAAAGTCGTTCACAGAAAAAGAATTTAAAATTTAAAAAATAAAAATCATTGTTAAATCAAATCAATAATAACCTTACGATATATCCCAGTGGTTCTTAATCGGTGTTCCGTGGACTTAGAATAAGAGTTCCATCGACATTTTAAAATCGGTGGGAAAAAATACATGAAAATGTGTATAAATACTGCTTTATTTTACGATTATGTTTTGCGAATATTTTTTAAAATGTTAAGTGTTTCATCATTTTAAAATGGTCCAGAACTACTGGTCCGTCCTATTATAGTACCCAGGTATAAAATTACCAAGACCAAACTAATTTGTTTACCTACAATACATTTTAGATTCAAAACGTCACGAGGAATATATTGCCTGATAGAATTAGTTATAAGCGAACTTCGCGAAGCCAATGCGAGATAGTAAGAATGCTGAGAGTGGCCAAATATCTAGATGCCCATGCAATGATGAAAGAACAAAAGATTCAAAAACATATTCTGTTTAAATGAAAAGCAATAAAAAAAAAAAAGACCTGATACTGGAAAAAGGTGCAGCCACTGTTGTAGATAGGAAAGTAGGATACATAAAGTTATTGAATTTACGTCTGTACGCAATGATAAATCATTGCTAAAAAAACTATTTTGAGAGAAGTTCGGTAAGTTATATTTTGAAATGCTGTAATTTTTACAATTTTCGACAAAATTTGATCTTTAAACGCTTATCAAAAAAAAAAAAAAAGAACGCATTAAACTCAAATTTGTTTTTTAAACCAATTAGTACAACTTATATAATGTATCTTATGTTAAATTTGCAAGCAATTCTCTCAAGTCATATAATTTTAATAACAGTAATAAAACTAATATTATTAACCGAATAAAAATTTAAAAAAAATATAAAATATCTATAATTATGCTAAAAATAGCTAGAATGTTTTGAACACTTGCACGCATTGCCGTATTCCTTACTTTTTTGTCGGTTTTTTGTTATCTTATTATCAGGAAAACTATACGGAAAATCAAACAACGACTTACTCCCAAACTAATCAAAATTGTCTTTCAGAAAATATGCTATTCTTCAAATTGGGACTAAGATTTCTGCTAGGAAAATAAAATATTAATAATTTTAAATAATGAAATCGTTTTGCTATAATATTTAAAAAAAAAAAATCGTATTTCCGTCTTTTTGGTTTTTTCCGACTATTATGAAAGCTACTTGAAATATCAAAAAATAACTTATTCGATTAGTGGCTATATATAAAAAAGAAAAAAATTAATCTCTAGTCATTTTTCGATTAGAGTAATATTAATTCTTGAAGAAAACTTAGTTGCCAAGATTAAATCAATGAGATCGGTAACAACGCAGTAATTATTAATTAAATAATTAATAATCTGTGTGCATATTCTCTACCAGAAGACTTGCTCGGATTTCTACGTGTAGCACCTTCTCTGATAGGAAATCGGCGTGAAGAGGTACTTTAAGGTTGTCATTTATGATTAGAAAGAGTTTTCTCATCAAATATGAAAAACCGAAAAAAAAAAACGAACATAATAAGAAATGTAGGTATTAGCTAAAAATAGTATAGCCTTCTTTTTTTCTGTACACAACTTTTCTACCAGCAATTTTGCTCCAACTTTTAATGATAGCAATGTTTCTAAAATGAAATTTCAATAGAAAGGTAATTTCGAAAACATTAAACAAATATTATTAAAGAAAATATATACAACTTATTTAATTATTTTACTACAAAATGACATACATATTGTTGACAAAACATTACTATAAACTAAATTCCGTTCAGAATCGGGTTTTCGTTAGCAATGGTTTAACATTATACATTAAATTACTTATAATTTTGGTTGCACCCGTACCCATTATTCTAGGACGGCTTTTTTTTCTGTTTTTCTCTAGTTTAATTTATTTCATTGTACGGAAAATGCATTCAGTAAAGAATATAAAATACTAGGGAATGGTCACCCAAATTATTTCGATCATTTTCATTAATATAGTATTCTATCTTAACAAAACCCTCAACTTTTAAATTAGATCTTTAAAATGATAAATTTGTAGAAAATTAACTATTTTATTGATTTCAAAATTATCATTTACTGAACGTTTTTCTGGGTTTTGATGCATTCCACACTTATTTCATGGTAAAAAAATGTTGTTAGCAATATTATGTACATTTTCAATTGTAAACTGATGTTATAAACGTCTTGTGTAGTGTCTAAAACAGTGACGATCAACGGGGGGGGGGGGATATCTCTCGCTTCCCAATTATTTAAAAACGTTGACGTATTTTAATTGAAATTTGAATGAAAAACGTCTGAGTTATTATACTAAAGAATAATAACTGTAAGATTCAAAACAAGACATTATGTGCACACATCAAACAGTCGGTATCCAATCTTTGTAAAATGCTATGATCCTTAGTATTTAAAACGGAATAACTCAGGCACATTTTTTCTTCTAGACTGTGGACACGTTTTTCCCTAGTAAGTTTGCCCCGATTTTTACGTGTAGAAACTTTTTTTAAAGCTCAAGACGCTATTTTATAAATAAATAAGTACATAGTGGGAAAAAAGGTAGAAAAATGTACAAGTGTAAAATGACGTTTTCTATCAGAAAAAAATGATTTAATCGAAAAATCATAAGTTACTCTTTTTGTTGCAATTTTGATTTACTATCTAACGGTATCATCGCAAAAATGTTTGAGATAATTTTGAGCTTTAAAGGAATATTAATTTTTGGGAGATTTTTGTTGTAGTTTGGTTATAAATACACGTAGAGACTTAAGACTTGGTACTAATACTTATACTAGACTTACCTAGACGTGGTAAAATTTTCAAAATCATCAGACGACTTTTTTTTTTAATAAGAATTTTAAAATCAAATTTAAACAAAAATCGTAAAAATTATGTACAACCGAACTGCGCTCGGAATTGTCTTTCGTCAAGCTTTATCGTCTTGTCAATCAATTGTTTATCGTTGCTTACAGATATAAATGCAATAACCTTATGTATCCTACTTTTCCATCTTCTCACCTAAAACAGTGGCCACTCCCATCTCCAGTATCAGCTTTTTAAAAATAATTTTTCAGCTGTAACAATTATTAGTAAGTAATGACTTTTTTTTTCATAAAATAATTTACTTTATAACCGATGTCTTTTAATAACCTTATTATATTACTATATTATCACAAAATAATATATTATTAACTTTATAAGATTATATTATTTCTGTCTAATTATGATGACACTAGTTATAAACAATGGTTTTGTTATTATTACAATTTTAGCGGTTGCCGGTTAGTGTTATCGTGCATACGCGGGCTGTCACACAAGCTTAGATAATATTTTTGATTGCAATATTGAACTTACTGTACTAATGTTACCAACAATTAGCGCATTGTTAATTTAGTCCACGGATGTTGTAAATAATAAAGAATAATAATTTAACCTTTAATTAGTGAAAACAATTTTTCTAAATAATTTTGTTTTCACCTATTTGTCTTGAGTATCAAAGTAATAATATTTTGTATACTTTGATTTTTCGTATAAAACGTATCTTATAGTTTCGCACACTAAAATAACTATTTAATTGTTCATCATGACAAAAAAAAGATAGAATTTTTTTTCGATTTTTAGTTTGAAGAAAAATAAAACTGTAAATAATGTATTCCACAGTTCATAAAATAAAATTCTAATTTTGGTTGATCTCTGGATTATAATACTCTACAAGCTTAAAAATGTATATTGTTATATTATTATACCTTTATTTTCTAGTTTTTTTTTTCGTTTTGGATTCTGAGTGTAGCGAAAAATGTATTGGTTTTATAAATATTTTTAATTTATTTTTTTCTATTTTTATATGCTGTACGAGGTATGGCTATTAAACAACGAGACTCCTCGCCTAGAGGGCGCCCTAGATGGGTAGTAAAAAAAACTAGTAATGCGTTGGGTATCTAGATATCTTATCTATCACGTACCAAAACACGTTTTCTTCACTATTATAGTATTTATGCAGTAGTGGTTTGAAACGAACGTGTTTTTTTCTCGTGCCAAAAACCATGTGTGACGAAAAACAGGAGCAACGTATCAATCTCAAATTTTTCGTTAAATTGAAAAAAACTTTTATAAATTGTTGCAAGAGGCCTATGGAGGCGATTATCTATCTCGTGCACGTGGTTTTGAGTGGTATAAGCGTTTCAGTGAGGGCCTAGAGAGCACTGAAGATGACCAGCGCCCAATTCGCCCTGTCACTGTTTCAACTCCGGAAACAGTGACCAAAATCAACCAAATTGTACGTGCAGATCGTCGAATGAGCATCCGGATGATTACCGAGGCTGTAAACGCCGATAAAGAAATGGTTAGAAAAATTTTACATGAGGAATTACATATGATAAAAGTCTGTGCGAAGTTGGTGCCAAAAAACCTGACTCCTGACCAAAAGTTCTTGCGTCAACAGACCTGCTCAGATTTCCTTGAAAAGTTAAAAGAAGATCCCGGACTGATGAAAAACATTATAACTTGCAACGAAACATGGATTTTTCTATACGATGTTGAAACGAAGCGACAATCGATGTATTGGAAGACACCTGAATCGCCCAGAATCAAAAAAGCAAGGATGTCCAAATCAAAATTTAAGGCAATGTTGATCGTTTTTTTTTTGACATTAACGGTATCGTGATGACTGAATGGGTTCCAGAGGGTCAGACTGTCAAACAGATTTACTGTTTATCAGTTTTGGCAACACTGCGAGAAAGAGTTCGTAAGAAACGGCCCGAGTTGTGGAAGAACAACTCGTGGATTTTGCACCAGGACAACGCACCTGCNGGCCCTCACCAAAGAAGACTTCCAGCACTGCTTTGATCAATGGAAAAAACGTATGGAAAGGTGTGTGGCGAGAGGAAGGGAGTATATTGAAGGGGAGCATTTGAATGTAGAATAATTTTTATAATAAAACACTTTTTCGTAACCAGTCTCGTTATTTAATAGCCACACCTCGTACAATAATCGTACCAGAAATCTTGCTCCGATGTATACGATGTAAACTCTTTTCTGAAGGGAAATTTTCTTTGGGTGGTACTTTAGGGAGGTCATTTTTCTTCTTACTCATTTTTTTACAGCACTATTCACTATTCTGTGCTTGTGTCAAGATAGACAATTATATTAGTTAAAAGACGCTAAATATGTGCATGTGCAATGTTGTGTGCACATAACAAAGTTATGTTAATCAAAATATCAAATGCTGTTTATGAGAAAAGTTGTCAAACCTTCAGTTTTAGATGTACATGTTTTTGTTATGTTCACATGATTACACTGCAAAAGGGAGGCTAAGTGCGCTTTAACTGCTATATAGTCTGTATTGGAAAACTGCATCTCTATATTACTTTGTGATAAAACAAATAAATAATATAATAATCATGGTCTGAAGTGCTGCACTCTGTATTAGTTTGTATAATACACACTACAGGTTTTTTCAATGGTAGATGGCGCGCGTTACGTTGACAGTTTTTTAAATAGTTACCAAGAATTTTACATTGTACTATAAACGAGGCGAATAATAAATAATAATAATATTATTATAATATTCCCCTATATTTCTCCTCTTATAATTTTCCAGTGGTGTAATTACGGGAAGGAGAATTTGGATGTCGCATCCTCCCCCAAGACCTTTTTTTTAAAAAAAAGACTAGGGAATTACATTTATGTACTTATTTAACTATAAATATATTTTTTTATATAGTCTGTATTATATAGAATTAATACTAAAAACCCTGAATCCTCTATACTAGCTGTACATAAATACTTCGCAATAAACGCAAGTGCATACTGCCATGTCAAAGTGAAAGGCAATAACTGACAATTTTTTATAAATGAGCTTATTTTAGAATACCTATTGTTTATTAGGCCATTTTACATAAATTTTTCTAAGTTAAAATGCAGTAAAACATCTCTAAATGAAACTTAAGTATGTAGTATCTATCTTAACGAATACTAGATAAATTAGCAGTAAATGATATATTTTGGAAAGAAAACGCAATATATGTTGTGTATATTACATAAATTTATTAAGCGGAATACATACTCCGTATGTATCCAGTAACCTCAGATTATCTGACCAAGAATGAGCAGTATCTAAATGTTTATAATTAAATGCCAATATAATAAATTCTTTTATAATAAATTTACATTTAATAATTCCATAAAGTAAACATATTTAAATGAGTTTTTTCTAACTTTGATTAGTAGGAATTAGTTTGTTTATTTTATTTTTAGAATCATAAATAGATACTATTAATATTTAAATAGTATATAAAACGCAGACTAAGTTATAATCCATTAACCATATCAGACATCAATTTCTATTGTGTTTGTTGATCATAACTATTTAGGTTCCTAAGAATGAAACCTAATTTTAAAAAAGAGATTTTTCCTAATTAAACACATAGGTAAACTGTTAAACTATGATTTTTATTATTTGTTAATATGTTTTTTAAAAAAAGAAAAAACATATTATAGTTGATTTGATTAATACTGCTTTTTTAATTGTAGTTTTAATAATTTTTGAATATCATAAATGCAGTATTTAAGTACTTAATCTTGAAAAAATTGTATAAAAATATAAATGTTTGATTTAGGAAAAATAAAATTAAACAGAACAATTTCTGAAGTAAATGATTACAAAAAATGATCAAAACATTATTCAATAATATTGTGAACAAGCAAAAATGTTCAAAAAAAAAAAGAACCCATTTTCCTAACATTTGCATTTTTGTAAATACTGTCTTTAATAATGGCAACAGAGGTGTCTCCAGACCTTTACTATGGGTAGAAGAAGGACGAAATAATTAAATTTAATATTAATGATTGATAAGGAAAAAAGACATAAAAAGCATATTTTAGGGTTTAGAGAATGTTTGAGATTTTGAGAATATTTTATGAATATTTCTGGTTTTGATTCTATTATTTATATGGACGTAAATCGACGTTTTGAGAACATTTTTTTGGGAGGGGGGGTTAAAGGCAAAATGTAAAAACATTTTTATCCCCCAACAAACATCTCCAAATTACGCCACTGTAATATTTTCCTGAAATAAAATAAAATATTGCAAACAGATCTATTAAATAACATTTTGAGAGGTAATATGAAAAATGTGTTGATGAAAATGGAAAAAATAATTCAATTTTTTCATTTTGTTAAAACAATTCAAATATCCTCTGTAGTTGTATACAAAAAAAATCTAAAAAAATACCAAGTGCATGAACATGAAAAAAAAAACTGATCACAATAATCCACAGCTGCCAAATAAAAAATGTAAAACGAATGGTTTATAATATTGTATTAGTCGAATTTTGTGTTCTGGAAATTTTAATTGCCCCTGGTTTAAATATAATTTCTGCTCTATATTAGTATAATTATCTGCACACTGACCTGATTTAACATTTACAACTCGTTGATATTTTATTTTAATATCTTGTAAAATACCGTTTTCGTAAAATATATTTTTACCTATTAAATTCATGACACCATTTCCATTTAATCTTCCCTTCAGTTTGGAAATAAATTATCAAATCATAATAGACCAATTTTGGTTCTTTGCACTATTTGGTAGCAAATAATCCAATGTATAGATATCATCAAATTTTCTATACAAGCATAAGTTTTCAAAACAAATTGAGGGGTATTTTTCGATTAAAATAGTCCGAGAAAGCGATGGCTTGGGTTTCTAGGTACATTATGCATTTATTGTTTTGAAAGCTGTATAAAAAACTAATGTGGACGAGTGCAGTCACTATTATAAGTAATTTAATGTATATCTGTTAGCAACGGTTAACCATTGTTAACAAAAAACGATTCCGAGTGAAGTTCAGTTGATAGTGTAGTTACTTTATCAACAATATATATATGTCATATTGTGGTAAAATAATAACATAGGCAATATACATTTTTTTTTTTAAATATTTGTTCAATATTGTACCTATTTTCTCGTTTTTCCTTCGGTTTTCCTATGGTTTTTCCTGGATTTCACATTTGATGGGAAAACTCTTGACAAAATCAAATAACCTCTCTAAAGTACCTCCCTAGTCAGATTTCCTTTAAGAAAAATTGCTTTCATTTTAAATTGGAACAAAATTGCTGGTAGAAAAGGTGTTCACAGAAAAAAAATCGTTATATTTTCTACATTTTCCCGTTTTCCTTAGTTTTTTTTTTTGGTTCTTCATATTTGATGAGAAAACTTGAGAAAATCGAAGGTTTAGTTCTCTAAAGTACCTCCCCACACCCATTTGCTTTTAGAAAAAGTGCTTCACTTAAAAATCAGTAGTTTTAACTGTTCTAAGGTTTGGTTAGGTTAGTTTTTTTAACTTTTTTTAGGAAATTAAATTTGTATCATTTTTATATTAAACATTGTTTCATATCTTCAACCATTTGACAAATATAATTAAATAACCTTAAAAAAATCAGTTTTGCTGTATGTAATGTATTTTGTATTTATTAATTTTTCTTGGGAAAAACAGTTTTTACAGTAAATTATATTATTATAAATTATCTAGAAACTAAGAAGAGCTACCATAAAGTCTTATATTATTTTATAATCAGTGATACAGTTATTAAATTATTTGCGAAAAACCACAAAACTACCCTTTTTCCTAATTTTCAACGTTCTTAGAGCACGAGAAGAGGGGTAAATTATCATGACCTAATTTAAAAACCAAAAAAATAAAGTCAGGTACAGTATTATCTAAGGCCAAGTAGGTAAGTATAATGACATATTTACGAAGTGTTGAGTACCTAATTTTATAACTAATTCTTGTATATTTTCCTGAAATTTGGGGGGAGGTAACTTCGTTAAATATTAATAGCCATTTTGTAAAAAATAATATTTTTAAAATTTCAATGCATCATACATTCATATACGATTAATAGTTTCTTAATTATAGCCGTTTTAATTTCTAAAAAATAGGCTTGAAACCTATAATAATATAACACATTATGTAGTAAGGAATCACAATCAGCATGGTAATCTTTTGCCTTTTATTGAATATTAATGCCCCCCTCGAAGACAAACCGATTGTAAAAAATAGAAACGAAAAAATTCATTAACAACAGCACTTGAAAAGGGATACACTGTATTATTATTATTATTATAATGGTTACAGTGATAGCATAATATATGATTACTTATTTCAGTGATTAATTAATAGTATACACTATTGGCTACTGCTCGACCAGTGTGAATGTGTGATTCACTTATTGTCGCAATTTCAATAATAATCCGCTAGGTTTGCTACAATGCGTGTGCCTTACTGCCGCCAATGTAAAAGCGTAGACAAACAAATAATGCTTCTAAATTTGCTAATTTGAAGTTGTTTTGCATGATATAATTATTTATATCATGTTGTATAGTAAATTCCAGTTATAAAATTAATGAATTTTCATTTATTCAAATAAAATAGGAATAATTATTATAATTAATCCTTAATTATAAATCAATTATTTTTTAAAAATAAAAACTGCAGTTAATTTGTTTAGTATGTAGCAAAATATGTTGTATCTAATAAGATTTATTTATACAGGAAACGTAACCAGATTTATATCCTGGTACGATGCATCTATGTCCGTTATGTTTAGTTTGTTTTATATAAAAAAAACTAAATTTTCATAAAATTTCAATTGATTATCCAAATTGTCCGTATTATTGTTATCGTTTGTTGCGATATTGTTGGGCGCACGCATATGTGGCACTCCTAGCGGAATTTCTTTGTTATGGCGACCATAAGAGAATGATAATTTTATATGGACAGAATAGTAGAGTGCAGCCCCGTGATTATTTTTAATCCCCCAGATTTAAAGTTATTTTCTAAGTACAAGATATTTATAATATTAAAACATTTTATATGGTTTTGTATTGTTCATAAAATTATAAAATATTAATTCTTTATATAGATTACTTTATTGATTAATTTTAAAAAAGATTTTAGTGTATATACAATAAACAAATTTTTGGTATAATCAGTACAAGAATCTAATATTAAATTAAATAAAAAAATTGGTTAATAATTAATTACTCAAACTATATACAACATAGATGTATAGAATGTAAATGGTTTTAAAATCTGCAGTTCTTTTAGTTAGTTAAATTTAAATAAACTTTTAAAGGTTTTATATAGTAGAAATAGTTTATAAATAATAAATTAAATGAATATCATTAATATAAAAAGAAGACAATTTTGGCTAAAATATTCAAAAAAGATTTACAAATTTGTCCATTAGTTTTATTATTAAAGTGGTAATACTGGAATACTTTACAGTAATCAAAATATTCTTCAAGACTTCATTTAAATAGAACAGGCAAAAATAGTTTAATCATGGATAAGGTAAGGCAAACCTTGTAGATCTATAATGTATTATTCGTGGAGGTGGGACTTTTGAGTTAAAGGCACTTTTTAAGTGAAAAGGGTCTTTGCAATTTTAACAGGATATAGATAAAGATGGCTGGTCACGCTGTACTGTTTGCGAGCAGATACTGTATTTTACAAAAAAAAAGAAAAATGTATTGGCCCCTTGAATTGAGAGTATGTGACCAAAACTACAGCACTGGGATCAATAATACTCCTTTATTATTGAAAATGCAAGCAGAAATGTACAGCGGCAAATAGTGCAACTAATCGAAATGAATGGCCGTTGGTCGAGGACGGTAGATTTGATAAGAAAACAGGTACGCTATAATATGCACTATACAGCGCTGCATGCTGCAGTTAAGTTAAAGATTATATGATTAGTATGATTTTAATTAAACGAAACACGCACTTGGAAAATAAAATAAACCCAAAATTTGGTACTAATTTTAGAAAAAAAACGATCAGTTAATCGTATATTCTAAATTAGAAAGTTTTTCCAAAGTAAGAACAAATTAGAATAAACCAGAGCATATTATAATCATACACAGACATTATGACAGGTACGGTACAGGTACAGACACGGTGGGATTATACACATTTTTACGCAAACAATTGGAAATATTTGATAAAAATTAATAAGTTTCCAATCAAATCAATATGTAATCTTTAATAATCAACATATTGATCATATATTTTTAATTTACCCACAAAATATTACAATAGAAAAAAATTAATAATATAATTTCGAATTTTTTAGTTTTTGGAAATGACACTTTTGGCCAGCTAATATTGGTTTCAAACTACCGTGCGTCCTGGCCTTAGCTTTCGCCGTCCTTTCGTCCACTTTCTTGCGATGAAGAATGTCCCTTGCCATGTGGTAGAAATATTTCACACCACGTCTGTTGATGTCTTAGCGGTTATCGTCCCTGGACGGCAGATAAGCAGAGCTACAAAACTGGTCTTGCACGTCCCCCGGTGAGATGCTCCTTCCACCCATGAAGGTTTTAATTGCCCGACAGGAGAGTTTCCAGTGAAACCAATGAAAGGTCGTGTGCTAGGCGGTGTCTTGTGGATGGTGGCAGTAAAGGCACTATGGCGTCGGGGGCTAATCACATCCGGTAAAAATAGTACCTGAAGCACCTGAAACCCGTGAGGACCTGCGTGACGTGGATTGTCAGTTTTCTCCGGCGTTTCAGAACCCACATTTTGAGATCAGAAATGATCAAACGTGTCCAGGTCCCCTTGTCACTGCGACCCGGATCCTTTTGTGCTCGAGTGCCAAAAGGTCACCGGGAGGAACAAAGGCCAGAAGTATAGCGGCGTCGGACGAGAGTGAAGACTCTGCGCATATAAATTGTGAACTATGGAAACCTACTTGTAGGCACAGTTTTGGGTGTAAAGATATCTTAAAGTGTAACGATTATTTTCAATCGTGGTTTTCCATCACTCATCAGTTGTCGTCTATCAATAATATGTTATAATAGCGACAATTTTTAATTTTTATTGCAATATTTCTAATTTAACGTTATTTTTGTTAATTTTTTCCGCTGTTAATCGACAAGTTATAATAAATGTTTAGTCTCCGAGTGGGGTGTAATAACAATGTATGCTATTAGTTGAACACGGAGAGAAAAACGTTATATAATATCGAATAATATTAAATTTTGAGAGTATGAAATTTAATGCATTTGTATGTTTTTTTTTATTTTTCAGTGCATATTTTACTTGTTATAAGTGCATATATGTATGCATATTTAATGCTTCTTTAATTTGAAGGTAGGTACGTAGATAAATACGTATAGAAAAGTTTCTATTGCTCTCAAATTGTATGCAAATGAGTTGTAACCTGGACGAGATCGTCCGGTAGACGTGTATGATCTGAAGGAAGTCGGCTCTTTGAGCCTTCAAGTGACATGGCAAACGGCCTATTTGGTCGCTCTGTCGGCCCAGATTGGGGAGGCGTACATCAACCTACTGTTAACCACCGACATAAGCAGCGACCGTTTAGACTAGGATGACCCACCAGAATGAGCACTGGTATTACTTATCACTAATTATAATTTAGAATTTTATACTTATGATAATTTGGATTCTTATAATTCCCCAATATGTCAACAAATATTTAGAGTCTTTAGTATAAGATACTTGGGTTTAACATTTGATAAAAATATGAAATGGAACTTACATGTATATAATATTGTGATGCATATGCGTTTATTATCGTTTAGCTTTTATAAATTACGGTCTTTTCTACCAATGCAAACTATGCACATAATTTACTTATCACTATTTCCACCAATATTCTATTATGGTTTATTGGTTTAAGGGGGGGGGGGTAATTAAAATACATCTAGACCACTACAACTTTTACAAAAAAAAAAATGATTAGAATATGCCTGAGTAAAAATACTTTAATAGGTTCAACTAAAGAAAACTTTAAGTTATTTTATATACTACTATTTGAATCAGTATAAAAGAAAATAATTATTTTATATATAATCAAAAACTTTGAATCTTTTATGGATATGAAAAATGTAATAGTTAAAAGAGAATATTGGGCGTTTGATGTCAAAATGGAGTATTCTAGAAAAGCGTTTAGTCAAAAGTTCATAGAATATTTATTTAAGTCAAAAAAAATACAACTTAATGCCTATAAACATAAAAAAAGACATATTCTATATTGAAGGAAATCGCAAACTACAAAAATAAAAAATAAAATTCTGAATTAGCCATTTTCAGTACTGTAATAAGAAATGATATTTAACTGTTTTTAACATTTTTATTTGTTAGTAATACAATTGTAATGTATACATTAGTAATAAATACTTTATGTATTATATAGATATTTTATGTTTTCATGTTTTATAATTAAATTATTCATAATTTATTTTAACCTAATTGTTTATTTATAATTATTTACTATGTTATGTAATTTAATCATGTTTACTATAACTCCCTACATCACCACAATTTTTGCTTAAAAGTGTAGGTAATTTTTATTATTTCTTTAATATTTTGTAATTGTATTTTATAATGTATTAGTTTAATAATAAAAATCTATGGAAAAAAAAATCATGGATGTACATAACTCCACGATTCTCATATTTATTTTTTTATTATTTTTATAAATTATAATAATAAATTTAATCACTTTGGATCTTTTTCTCAATTTTTCTTTTTTCTAAATTTTCATGGACCCATTGAAAAAAACCGTTCACTCGAGTATTTTTCCAAATTTTCTATCATTTTGAATACTAGTTCGGGCAGTTGGGTTTTAATTTTAATCGACAAAGTTCATCTATGTTTGCTGATATAATTTGAATTGTTTCGGTTAAAAAATATGTATATCATTTTTTTAAAAGATTAAATGTTTTATTATATCTTAAGAAGGTCTGATATAACTTGGAGTCCTTTCATTATCAAATAATTGATGACTTCATTCATCATAACTGTAACTGGATTCCCTTAGCTTGTGGTCTCTTGGCCTCCAACTCAACACTAGTAAATGCCAGTCTATGTTCTTTTCTAGATGTTATAGAACTATTTGTTCGTTGATCATGTTTACACTGTTAATGGTTCAGCGATTGATAGAGTAGAATCTAAAAACGATTTTGGCGTTCTCTTCAGTCCTGATTTGAGCTTCCGTTTGCACATTGAGGCACCATGTCAAAGTTTTACCTGTTTGTGGCTTGTTAAGAGCAAAGAATACTTGGACAGTAATAAAAAAGGCCTTGCTTATGCAGAGATGGTTAAAAAATACAAGGAGATTGATCTTTCGGCAGGCAGAAACACTGTTGTGAAAACAATGAATGCATTGCGTACGGTTTATAAGAAAGAACTATCAAAAAATTAATAATTCCATGTCCTTAAAGCTTCTTCCGGTAGCAAGGAATCGTAAGGTACCTAAGAGTCTTTCATGTGGAGATATCGCTTTTCTCATAACAGTATCGTTTTTCATAATAAACAGAGAAACTAACCTTAACGACTCAACATAAGTCTCTTCATCTATTCTTAAATAATTCCGTCAGTCATTGGGTTCATTTCGTAATTCTCGCAATAAGTTTATATGAGAAAATTCCCTTTTCTTCAGTAACCATTTACGGCTCCGCTTTCTTCTTGGTCTTCGCGACTTCTTCGATTTTTTCACTAAACAAACGACATATAATGACCACAACAGTACTTCCTCTATGGCGAAAGCTGATGGCCAACTGAGGTGTGAGTGAACTGCGGTCGACAAAGAATATTGGACAAGAAATCGTAGCGTGTAAACAGTATCCACTCTTTCGATTAATTGGAACAGTAACAACGACGATAAATTTTCAATCTCATCGTTACGATTTATTGTTGCCTGTAAACCTGGATTTAGGGTAACAAGGACCCCACCTATTATAGTGAATTTTAATATTATATCATTGTAATTTGTTTTTGTAATATTATGTTAGTTTGTATTTTATGTATAGTTTAGTTTAGGTAATTTTTATTATCAGTGTCGTTCTCAAGAATTTCCAATGAAGAGGGGACGGGGGTGATTTCTAGAAAAATATGTAAGGGGCTATCAGTGCACACCCCTCTAGTTATGACATTTAATATTAATTTAATAATTATAATATAAAAGAAAATAAAAATAAAAAATTTAATACACTTTTAATTTTTTATAATATAAAATCTAATTTTAGATTTAGGTCTTTTTGCCAAATCATCTACCACTTCCTCAGCTGTTAATGGAACCTCTCCGTGAATGGCTAACATTATAAGACCATTTGACTGAGTTTAAAGTAATTAAAGAGATACACTTTTGTACTATAGGTACTAATAAATTTAACCATACTTTCTGTTTCTAAATTAAATTAAAAAGAGGTGCCTTTGCCATTGTACTTCGCAAATAACTTTTAAGTCTTTTATGACACGAAACAGTTCTCTCCGGAGTTGCAGTAGAAACTGGTAGAGTAAACAGTATTTTTAACAGGTGGTAGATGTTTGGGAAAATTTCGTTATTACATAGTCGTAATGCTTCTAATACATTTTTTGTATTTTTCTTATTTCGATTCAATTTTGTATGCCATGGTTGTAATTCAGCTTTTAAAATTATTGTATTACAATCAAGATAAAACTGGACCAGTTCATCAATTTTTTTTGAATGTGCTTTAGAAAATAAACATCCAAATCCTTAAAAAAAAAATGGCCAATGTGAGGTGGTTAAACCCCATGACCCCCCCCCGGTGTGTATACCCATGTCTATTATTATTGTCCTGATTTTCTGTGTCTATATGTTACTTATTATTTATTCCATCATTAAAGTTATTGTATTATTGGGCCTGCGATATATGTTAAAGTAAATAAAATTATATACATGTCACGTAGCCATAGCATTAATTATAAACTTACCTATTTTTAATGAAATGTGTATCAATTACATGAACTTATACACATGATGACGTTTTGAAGATTACGAAATTATCACAAATAGTATCCATTTCATGAAATGGAAACTTTTATCTTATACAGAAAAAGTAGTTATTATTATTTATAAATTAATGAAATTTAAAAGTAAATGTGATTAATTGAGTGTATTAACTAAAATTAATAAACTGTTTATTATTACAATTTAACAAATTAGGACAGCGGCTGTTAAATTTATCCAAAATTGTTTAACTAGTACAATATTTACAACTGGCATAACCTTGCTGACGTGAAATATTAGAGATAGTTTCACGCAAAGTACATTTTTGTCATTTTTTTACTTCATCAGTCTTAAAAAAATTAAATATTTTAGATTGCATGTTTTCTGAACTGTACAATCCTTTTATTAGTTAATATTTATTTCGAAGTTTGTATAAACAGTATTTATTTTGATTCATTATTTTCTAATAACTATGATAGCCCATGATTTACTTTGGGCACAGGTATTATTGTAATGAAAACTGTATAAATTGTAAACCAAATAACCATTGTTAAGATTTGTTTTATGTCATCCAAGCACGAATCATTTTTTCATATATGTCTAGAATATGTACTTCTCTTTATTCTTCCCTGACTTTGGGAGTGATACGGTTTACTAATTAAAATATGCTTTATGTTTTCACTGCCATGAATTTTTTTGAAAATTAAAACGCATATCATTTCATATTTATTGAAGTGATAATATCGCGACCAAGATGTACTTGCCACATAAGTTGTCTAACTCTTACTCCTTGGAAAATTTCCAATGAGAACTCCGTAACAATCAAAACTTATATTTTGTAAATTCATCTTAAGATTTTTTCTAATAAAAATTTAAAAATGCAACGATAAATTTAAATCAATTCAAAAAACTATAACACCAAGGAATGGATAATTTTAATTTATTGGTTTTAATTGTCTATACTACATCGCCGATTTCTTAGGTACAATGTTTCATACGAAATTCCTCTTAGAAACGATATTAACAATATTTTTCACTAGTAAAATTGATTTATTATTATTATTATTTGTTTTATTACGCCAACCAGTAATTTTAAAGTAATACAATGGAAATTTCAATAGCAATTAATTATAGTTTGAATAGTACATTGTTAAACGCTGTAAAATTACCACCCTTCAAATACATTGTACAATTATTATTATTATCTGATTTTTAAATGTGACAATATTTAATTCTGTTAACAATAAGTTTAGATGACAAAATGCCAAGGAAACTTAAATAAATAAAAAAAAATTGGATTGGTTAATAACACATTAAATATGCATTTATGAACTAATATGCAATAATCTATAATAATAAGAATTTTAAAATCAAATTTAAACAAAAATCGCAAAAATTATGTACAACCGAACTGCGCTCGGAATCTTCTTTCGTCAAGCAATGGTTTATCGTTGTTTACAGATATAAATAGAATAACCTTATGTATCCTATCTTTTTAACTTCTCACCTACAACAGTGACCGCTTTCATTCCCAGTATCAGCTCTTTTTTTAAAATTAAATCTATGATTTTTAATCGGAGATGGAAAAAAAATTCGCATACATCATTGTTAAACCAATACATTCCTCGATGCGCTCAGAATCTAAAAACAAGTTATTTGTTTGATTTATCGATTTCTATATTCGGTTATTTTCCTACGGGTATTATTTATCTATATATTTATTTATTTGTACGCTCGAATAGTTATAGTGTACAATAATAATACATAAGTAGGTAAGTACTTTTTTTTTTACCTTTTGGTAATCGTGTAGGTATTATATTGTACGAGCAATATATATGAGAAATTCAACGAGTCGCGGTCGGTCCGTTGACCCCACGACAACGATTATTTTCATACAACTCGCGCGATAAATTCGATAGTATTTTTTTTATTATTATTATTTATTTATATACCGGCTACCTACGCGTTTTGTGATAAAAAAAGTCGGCCCTCGGTATTGTATTATTATTGTAATTATGTTATCAGTACATTTTACGTCGCCGTGATATAAAATAAATAGGAAACAATCGTTGCCGCCCAAAAATACCCTCCACACCTTACTAACCCCGTTATTAAAATACAGGAAAATCGTGGTTGAAAATAAAATATACATAAAATGCATAAATATATATATATATTTACATATGTAAACGTATTATAAACATACTATACTCCTTCGACGAGGTAAATAATCATCGCGATTAACGACCCAAATTTAGGCGAGTTCAATATACTGCGACGTAATGTAATATACATATTAAACGCAAAGAATAATACTTCGCGCGAATAATTGTAAAAATAAAAAAAAAAATTATGGGTTTTGCCTTTTTTTTCACTTCATATCATAAATTATAGGACCGTAGCTGAATCAAATTTTCGTTAGGTTTTTTCCTCATCAAATCATCATTAGATTATCGTAAAAATAATAATAAGCATTTATTGTGCATTGAAAATAATAAACAAATCTTTTGAACAAAATTCGGTGGAGGGGGGGTTTGACTCCCGAAATTCCCCTGGGGTACTTAACTACAATATAATTGCCATTAATTTAATATAAAATTTAATATTTTATATAAATCACTTTTGTATAGTAATTATTATTGTTCACGTACCCTACAGGGGCGTAATTTCAATATTTGGTATAGTTGCGCATAATAATAACCTGCCCTTTAAGTATAAACTAAATTATTTTTATTTACTTAACTATTTTTTATTGCTTTATAGGCCATTGAGCCCTTTTGTAGCTTATATTTAGTTCTTCTATTTATCACGGTCAACAGTTGTCTCGAATTTTGAGTTTTGCCGTTCCATCTACCATTTTTATATGCATTTACTCCGTTTCGCCATCGTTGCTTAGGTCTTTCCCTGGGACATTTGCCACTATGTTTTTTAATGAGTGCTTTCTGAATTATGCTTTCCTTGGCTCGTCACAATTAACCCACCCATTCTAGATGCATAACTTTCAGAAAACATTTAATATTTAGTTTATTGGTTTATATAGGGATTCCGAGGTAGTATTTTTTTTTTTCATAGTCCCCAGTTTGTTAATGTTTCCATATGACTGTATACTTTTCTTAGAAACTTTCTCTCAAAGATAAGAAGCTTCTCTTTATTTCCTTGAGCTGTTTATCACGTCTCATAAGCATACGTCACTATAGGGTATACGTAATCTTTAAGTGCATATTGGTCTGTCATTCGTTTATATAAAACTCCATATTGAAAAAAACAAAGACGCTTGCTTCGATCGCTAAGTCTCTTAACTATCATTGAATACTTGTTTACAATTTATATCAATCAAACTCTATCTACTTTTGTTAACACATAAGTTACTTGAATATAAATAATCTTAACTCGGCTTTACATATAATCTTCAATGAATTTTACGCTAAAAAATAAAAATATTGAAATATATT